GGAGAACACAGCCAACCATCCTCATGAAGGAGTCTGTGTTCTTTCTTCCGAGCCCCACTGCGACGCTGATGGATGAGGAAACCCCTTCCTTGCAACAAGAGCAGAGGGGAACCCTGTTCTCAGCAACGTGGTGTCTTTGACTAAAATATTGTTTCCTCCACACATTGGAGTCACCTCCTGGGAGCACTGGGGAGTCAATCTTCTAAATGCTACAAACCTGGACAGGTGTTTAGTCTCACTGCGTCCCTGAGAGAACTGAAATAAGAGAGCAATTTCCAGAAATCTATGGTTATCAAAAGCACCAAATCAAGAGAATGTTTAAAACATATCTGACCTCACATGGTAAATCTGTCTCAGCGGTGCCCCCCGGGAGACCCCGTTGCGCCTCGTAGGGCTTGCTCGGCGACAGGCGGTCCCGAGTCAGGCTGCTGCGTGAGGAGGCAACCCCTGACCCTGGCGCTCTTCTCTCTGGAGGAGTCTGTGGCTCCTCAAAATGGCCCAGTCTCATGACTCTGAGGATCCCTCTCATTATAGACAAAACAATACCTCAAAGATGTGGCCCCTCCGCTCTCTCTTCGACGTTTAAAAACCAGTTGAAATTGATGAAAGGAGGAGAGACCACATTCGGTTTGCAGGGAAACAGTGTTCTGCATGCAAGCTTTTTGATCTTGACTGGAGATGAGTAGAGAGAAGAGGTGGAAGGGAAAATCAGGGGTCAAGGGTCCAACTTCCCAAATGACAGAGTAGGTTAGTAAGTGAAAGTACAAGTTCCTCCCCTGACCGGAAAGGACAGATGAGGGGCTGAGTACAGTGGGAGGGCTGTAAGGGGCTTGGGGGTGCTGATCTGAGGATCTCTGTTTTTTTCTGCAGAGACCAAAACTAGGCATGAGGTAGCAGAGGGATCTTAAGAGGTCAAATGCCTAAACTCCCTACAGGAAGTTGTCTCCAGGGGAAATCCCCTGCTTTGAGTTATGCCCATAAACCTCCTGGCATTTTGCAGAGATATCTTCACCCCCAACAGATGAAGATTAGCCTATACCCACATTTCATCTTTTCTTGACTTGGTGAGCTCCCCAGAGCCACCCTGGGCATCTGGAATTTTTGTGCTACTATTAATGGTGCACAATTTATGGCCATCCCATATGGCTGGAAGTATCTGCCAAGCATCTATTTATAGCAACACACAAACGCTCTAACCAAGGCCAGGAGGAGGCTCAGCCCAACCACAGGGGCACCCCTTGCCATGGACCGCCATGTCATCAGAAGACGTGGGAGAGCTTCACCAAGTCCACTGCCACCACCTCAGACCTAGGAGCAGTGAGGAAACCACCAGGCTTCCACCCAAAGCCACCAGAAGGGCCCGCGTAGGACTTTGAGGATGGGCTCTCACTGGGCGGCTTTATGAAGGCAGGCACCTGTGACGCCAGGGCACAGCCGTGGTGGGGGCGGGGGGGCTGAGACCAGCTGGCGCCTCATTTAGTGTGAGCTTGAGCAAACGCACAGAGCCCAATGAGACTGTTTCCTTGTCTGCAAAACGCAGATAAGCGTGGGGTGGTAGAGAACACTCAGCACAGCACCTGGGAGGCAGCTCACGCTGAGCAGGCTCCGACAATGATATTTGTCACTGACATCACCACTAATTTTCACACACCAGAGGCAAAAAGTTTTATTAGCACACGGTTTGTATAATTATAAATGTATTGGAGTGTATTTCCAGGAGACTGACCAAGAAGGGTACTTTTGATCCAGTGATTCTACCCCAGTAAGATGCCCTACAGGCCTGTCTTATACATAGGGGGAATGTCCAAGACATTTCCTATCAAGTGTACATCTGTGCTTAACCCCCCTTCTTGTGCTCCCCACACCACTTCCAGAGAAAACAGGAATCATGGCCAGCCAAGCAGAGGAGGAAGCAGGCGAGGTCAGAATCCCCAGCTCTTCCTTTGTCTTCCAGAAGGCTCGCCTGGTACTGGCACTACATAGAGTACTTGTCTGGGTTCCTTCAGGAATCTTAGCATCTGGAATCACAAACTCTGGAGTTGGGATGGTCCAATCAATGCTTGAGAACTTCCCACAATGCCCCTCCTCAGTTTGCACATGAGCTCCATGGAAGCTGAGAATTCACATCTTATCAACAGGAGACAATCTTTAGAGCTAAAAGCATTTCCCATAATGTCCACCTACTCGTGCCTTATAGACCTTTTTTATAGGTGGGGGTCCTTGGGGTACAGTGGAAGTGGAAACTGTGCCTTCTCCATGTAAGATAAGCCTCACACCATCATCGTGGCCACCAGGACCCACACTCTGCTCCCTCCACAGCTATAATCTGAGGTTCCCTTTTTGCTGCTCAAAGTAGTCTTCCACTCTCTTTATGCAGGTTCCTGCCTCCCTCGGCTAATCACAGATCTCTTGTCCTTCCTGCACTAGGCCCCTGCCCATTCCCTGCCTCTCACATACTCCCTGGGGCCCTACTGATTTCTCCAGGAAATGCCCCTTTTTTCCTCTGGGCCCATTAGCAACTCAAGGTCAGACCTGGATGTCTGGGAGCTTCACCACCTTCTCAGCCAACTTCTATTTTTGGTCTCTGGCCCTGGGTTCCCAGCAATCTTTTCTCTGAATTCTGAGAAGTCTAAGGAACTGGACTGCTCAGCCAGATTTCTCCTTTCCCCTTGGAGCAACACAAATGACTTATTGGTGGTAAGAGGATCATAAATTCAGCCACAGTGGTCTTAGCAGTTTCTTTAAGGGAAGGGGAGGCCTCTCCGAAGCTCCTCTGTATTTTGCTTCCACAGTAAGCCTTGCGCCCTTCTTCCCTCCCTCAGAAGGGGCAGACCAGTGAATTGAGGCACCTTCCGGAATGGAAGAGCACCCCCAACCCTCCAGCTTTGTGGTTCTCACTCTCTCCAAACTGAGCCCAGCGCACAGTTTCTTAAGCAAAAGGCCAGAACCATCATTCAGTTCAGACACCACTCACCTGTCAGGGAAAATGCTTTCAGCTGTAAGAAAACCTAGTAACAGGCTTAATGAGGAACAGGTAAGGTTGGCAGCTCTGGATCACACCCAGGGCCCAGGGTGCCACCCTCTCACCTAGCAGTCCCCATGGGCTGGCTGCCCTTTGCTTCCACCTCCCTCAGTACCAGACAGCTGCCCACCTCACCCCAGGGAAGCTACACAGCCCATCTTGTTAAAAATGAGGGACGTGGCCCTCCCTGGTGGCGCAGCGGGTTAAAGCACAGCACTAAGAAGCTTAAGCCACTTCTGCATGAGTTTGATTCCCGCCTGCCCTGGAGGTGACCACATGGTGTGGCAGACCTCTCCTGACCCGCCCACTGCTCCCCTCAGCAGTGTACTTCATCGATCTGCCTGTTCTGCTCCCCACTCTGTCTCTGGTGAAGCCTCTTACCGCCCCTGAGCCTCTGGCCTGTACCCCAGTTCTGTATGCACAAATAAATAAATCTTTAAAAAAAAAAAAAAAAAATGAGGGACGTGTTCCCAGAAGCACAGCAGCTTACGCTCCTTCCAAGCTGCCTAACCAGATCCGGGTCACATGCTCAGTCCTAAACCAGAATCGCCAAGATGGAGCAGGAAACAGGTTGAACAGACTAGGCTGACTGAGACCTGAATGGACTCCACGTCTTCTGAGGGAGCAAGAGTAAGAGGCAAAAGCAAAGCTGCGGCGATTAGCAAGGAGGAAGCAACAGGGCAGGCAGGAGCGCCCCAAGAACTCAAAGAGAACCGTCCCCCGCGGCACGGCTGCCCCCCACTGCAGCAGTGCCATCTGTGCAGGGCAGTGTGCAGGCCGGGGGAGTCAGTGTTTGGGCAAAGGAGCAAGAGGGATCACGGACCCGGAGGAATTGGGGGGTCTGATGCTGATGAACGCCATTTGCCCGTAAGTTAATGTAGGTAACCCAAGAGATATATACGGCAAATCACACATTTTAAACTTGATCTTAAAGATCACAGGAACATAGAGGCTCTTTAATTAATTCAAAAGGGGGATGGGTGAAAAAAAAATGAGAGTCCATGTGGGGTACTGTGGAATCTTGCTCAGGTTAATCAATCAAATGAAAATAATGTTTAATAACAATGATACCTATTTTTTATATGCATCTTCACCAAAGGAAAAAGCAAAACTGACTATACCTGACTTTCTCATTACTACTGGGATTTGCTTTGGGGTGGGGGTGTTTCTCCTCATTGGTTTGGTTGTGTTGTCTATGCCATATAAACAAAGGGGGAAATTTTCAGGAAAAAAAAAAGTGATATCATTCCATCCCCTACATTAATTAGTAAGTTACGAGTGAGTAGAAGTCCACCTCTGTCTGACTCGTAGAGGCTGGGTTTCTTGGTCCCATTCTCAGAACACACTTTGAAAACCACCCATTCAGCCAAACTCTGTCATTTGTCTTCTACAAAAGTTACTAAGCTCACAAATATCTTTAGCCAAGGTCACCCAGTTAATCATTGATGTAGCAGCTCCCGTCCCAAGGACTCGTAGTGATTTCCCACATCACCTGTCCTGGACACATGGCGTGGGCCTGAGCTAAGTGTGTCTGGTCTCAGTCCAAATCCACCGTCGGACTCAAAGGCTCTCTAATCCACCTATACACTGAATAGACGCTGGGAACGCTTTGTAAAAGTTTCTACTGGAGATTTAAAGATACATCCCTCTCTCCAGCACACGCACACACAAGGACCTGCACACACAGACTCACCTCGGCCCCTGCCTCTCGTGGACCCCAAAGGCCTGTGACCCAGGTGTGACTTTCTCAGCTCTGCCCAGTACACTCAGACCTGGGCTGGCTCCTCGTCTCCCTCCTCCCAGCCAGAAATGGTTAATTGCCAGCTCCCGGCTGCCTCCGGCCCAGCCCTCATCGGCCTGATCTCAGGAGGCGGCAGCTGCGGGCCAGCCAGGCTGCAGAGCAGCGGGGTACTCTTCCTCGGTAATGATTAAGCTGAGTGCCTGGTAAGGGCACGGGCCGCTGAGCCAGGAAGGTGAGGCCTATTCACACCTCGGCCAGCCCGTGGTGGCCAGGACTGGTTTGGGAAGGCAGCGCCCCAGGGGCCAGGGACCCGGAACTGGCTGCTGCATCCTGCCGCTGCACACCAGCATCTTGGAGCATCTCGGGCTGGAGCCTCTGCTGCCTTCCCTTGGGGACCCAGCCTTTGCCCCCCACACCATGAAGCTGCAGGTGTTCTGGACTGGCCTGGAGTACACCTGCCGGCTCTTAGGCCTCGCCACTGCTGCAGGTAAGACACCTCCCTGCACAACTGCCCACACACAGGGCTGCCTGCGGGCGGGAGATGCCAGGCTGGGAGGGGGAGACATATCTGAGCGCATCTGTTCTTCACTTTTCTTCCTGAGACCCCAAGACACACTGCTCTGCAGAGCAGCAGCAGGTGGGGGGGGGGGTGAACCTGGGGCTGGAAACCAGAAGGCAGCTGGGTGCTAAATCTCTGCTTAGCAGCTCATCGTGCAGGTGCCCCTGGGATGGCACCTGCATCCCATCTGTGAAGTGAGTCAAGCGAGCCTGCCTCACTGCCTCAGGTCTGCTGGGAGGTAGAGGTGGGAGCTGGAGGCTAAGGCAGGTGTTGGACTTGGCAAACGTGAGACGTGGGAGCATCACTGTGTAGGGGCAAGGTCAGTGATCCTCCCCTTGCATTACTCCAACCACATCCCCATTTACAGGAGAGAATTGCCAGCCCCCAGGGCAGCTGAGCTGCAAAGCTGGACATGGGAGCCGGGGTTTCCCCAATGTGCAATGAGTTTGGAGGGAGAAATAATTTCCACTGCTGGCTTCTTCTCTTTCCTTGAACCTGGTCATAAAACTGTTGGACTTTCTGGGAGGACGGACAGACAGTTAAAGCTGAACTGTCGCAGCCACAATCCCGAGCCCTGTCTACTCCCTTTCCCAGCACAGACCCAGCCCTTAACCCTGTGACTCCCCTCCCCATGGCTAGGGCCTGTCGGGGGGAAGTGAGCCCTAAACTCTGGGACCCCCATCCCCTAATGACAAGGAACACACACAAGTCATCAGTTTTCCTGCAACAATAGTAATCTTGCACCCGGGTCTTGGCAATGGGAAATGTCCACTTACCAGGCCCAGGTAGCACTGGCTCTGGCCCCAGCCCTGTCACTCACTGAGGTGTGGTCATGAGAGACTTTGGGACCACACTTCTGATCTGTGAAGCAGAGACTTCTGGAGCTGCTGGCTGGAGGTTCTAGAGGAGCAAGAATGCGTGAACTGAGCATAGGTAGGTAGAGCTGAGGATGCAAACATCTTGGGAAAAGTCCCCAGGACACAGTTCAGAACTCAGGGGGACCTGTGTCATCCCCAAGGTGCCAGGCCAGGCTCCCAGGTAGGCTGGTTAGTGGGCTGTTCTAGAAACTAGACTCTGGCTTATAACAGGAAGGACTGCTGGAGAAGCTCAAACCCCAGGCCTCCTGTTACCAGATGAAACAGCTGAGCTTAAGTAGAGGCAGTGACCTTACCCAAGGTCACATTGCAAGAGAGGGACAGCCAGCCTAGAGCCTGGTCTCTCAGCTTTGGAAAAGGCCAGGGCTCTGGCCAAAATCAGGGAACCCCTATCCAGCAGACACACCAGGAAAAGTTGAGAAGTGCCCTAGGTAACTACGTTAAGAGAAGAGATGGTTGTCACCTCCTTCAGATCTACCTTGTCACCTCCTCAAAGTGACCACCATAGTCACCACGTAGGCCCCAGTGTCCATGCAGAGGAGGTGAAATAATCCTACATGGGGCTTCTGTGTCTGGGCTCTGGTTGGAGTCCCACCTCCTCTGGGCCTGCCTCCTGTTGGGAAGCTCTTATGATGTATCTCTCCTTCTGCTAGATTAGCTAAAGACAGCTTAAAAATCTGATTTATGTGAGCCAGTGAAAGGATCTGAAGCCACAGCACACACATACACGTACATACTGCTCCCTTAACTCTTATCTCTGCAGAAAGGGCTGCTGTTAATGCTGAGGAGAGGCCTCCCACTTGGTCTTGATAGAATCCAGGCTAAAAATAGCCCACAAGTTGCCTTCTAATGGCCAGGCTTTCCAATAATCTTGCTTGGGCTTTCTAGAGTGCCAGGAGCAAGTGGGGAGCTAGCAGAAGGGGCTTAGGTGCTCTTGGGCAAATCTCAAGTTTCTTCCAGCATCCCTGAACTCCTGGCCTACATCCAAGGTGTAAGATTTGCAAATTCCTTAGTCCCTTAAGCCTCTTTTCTGTTGAAATCTCTGTTGAAAAGTCCTGGGCCTCAATTATGGTTGCTAGAGAAGGAAGAAACTTCAGGCAGACGCTGCCAGTTTGCAGAAAACTTATGAGACCTAAGGTGGCCCCTGGGCACCTCTGGGAAGGAGTGTGGGGTCACTAGGCGCTAGGGTAAGTGTGAGGCTCAGGGTCACCCTGGCCCTCCTCTCCAGGACCAGGCAGCTTTGGGTCAAGCGGCCTCCTCCCTGGACTCCCTGCTCCTTTGCAGATGGAGTATGACATGGGACTGTCAGAGACACTAAGGACACCCAGGCCCTGGGGCCTCCACCGGCACAGGAGGCCTAGTAGCGGTGGCTGCACAAACCCTGCACAGGTGCTGGCTGGCTGAGCTCACCCTCTGTCGGGCCTATGTTAGGGCATCTGTGGTCCAGTGCATTGCTGCCCCCCCACTCAGACTCCCCTCACCATGAGTAGTGTCGAGCACAGACAGCACAGTGCCACTGTTAAGGGGAAGGATGCCCCACAGACAGGCGCCCAGTCCACTCTGGGCTACCCTGTAACACCTCCTCCAAACTAAAGTAAAACTGGCCATGGGCATTCTGCATCCAGACAGAAATGTTTCTGGCATTAGACGGCCCCTCCCTTAAATCAGCCTCAGGGTCTGTAGGCCAGCAGAGTCTCGTGCCCCCCAACTGTCTTCCACTTGGCTGGCTTCACGCCCCTTTCCCTTGATAGCAAAAAGCTGAGCTTAATCCCATTTTATAAATGAGGAGGCTGAGGCTCAGGATGTTCGGGTCGCTTGGCAGTGTCGCAGGGCAAGCTGAGAGCAGGTCTGGTGTTGGGTGCAGTCTGCCCACTTACAGGGTGGTGGCGCGGGGACCCATGGGGGCTGTCAGCCTGCAGCTCCAAAGAGGACGGCAGCAGGCAGCCAACAGGAAACAAGCTGAGGTTGAGACAGAGCGGTTTTGAGCAAGCCCCCTTGTCGGGCTATCATACTCTTTCTCACAAATCAACTGCTTTGAATCAACCTGGAATCACTTAAGGGTTTTGTTTTGTTCCAGGTTTTTGACCCATTAACCTCTCTCTACTTAAAGGACAGAGTCGCATTCCAAACAGCTCTATTCCTTGCCATACTGCATTCAAAAGCGAGACTTGACTTACTAATATAGACTAAGACAAAAGAAGCATTTAAACCCAGATGTTCTCATTATTTTTTAAAGAGTACAGCAAATGCATAATTTGACCTTCACCCAATTCAAAGCTTTTAAAAAAATAAATGCTTCTGAAGTAACCATGCTAGGCCCTCCATGCTAATTTCCATCCTCCTCAAATGTATGTCCCGTGACCACTTCCTGACAATTTAGGAAGCTTTATGCCCTCCCACACATCTGCAGGTGGATTTATTGCCTGCGTAATACCATGTTGTTTTCAGACCCTTCAAGTGGATATTGGCTGTTTTCTTTTCCTAGCAGATTTTTCTTATGAGGAAATGAACATCTTTGCCCCTGTTTCACCCTCTTCTGCTGAAAGACAATGTGATTTGTTTCAAGTGTTTCTTTCTTTCTGTTTGTGAGCTCTTCCTTAGATTTAGAACATGAAATCAAGACCTCCAGTTAAGATTTATTTATTTGGAATATATTTGCTCAATTCCACTTTCTGCAAGGTAGACAGGTAGATTAGGATGGTATCATCTTGCCCTAACTAAGTGCATGGTCTGACTGCAGAGACAAACTAAGACTCCAGTGCCAAGCTCCGCAGGGCAGTGTTTGAGAGGAGGGAGTGTGTGCCCTGTTCCACCACTGCCTTGGTGTGTGACCCATTCACTTTAAATGTGAGTATCAGTTGGATCTACTCTCTAGCATTGGTGCATTCAATAACACAAAACTAAACCAGCAAACTGCCTAGAATATAGATTCTCACTGGGTGCTAGTTAATTTCAGGGGAATATCCAAACATGGGGGCTGTCCAGCATGTGTATTGGATTCTTCTCTTAGAGTGGAAAGAGAAGGAAGATGAAAATAAAGGAAACAGCAAGTAGATGATCATAGATGATGCCAATGGTCTTAAACTGAGTAGGATTTTCCTTCACAATTTGAACGTGGGCCATTAAAATCAGCCTATAAGAAATTGATTCTTTCTGTACCACAGTCGTAATCAAATCAGAAGGAAGATGTTGGCCTCTTATTTTTTTTTTTTTTTGATCTGGTAGCTCACCTTCAGTGCTGCATACTGTCTAATGTGGACTATTATCAGAAAGGAATATAGACAAACACAAATGGCCGATATTAAGGTACCCTCCTGGGGCCTCCTCTGAGTCTCTCAACCCTAGCACGTGTCTCCCTCATCTGCCTGTGGCCTTCGCTTCTGAGCTGCATGCTGACAGTCTTCTGACTTCCCACGGTGCCACCACTTTGTGAATGGGCACATTGAGTGTTCCTGAGACCAAGTAAAGAAACGCGGTTTGTGCAACATGGAGAGAGAAGATGGTAAGGCCACTGCTTTCCGGCACCCAGAAAGCTACCATTGGAAGAGTAAGCAGATTCTCTTTGCATGAATAAGAGCATGAGAAGCAAATACCTTGGCAAATATCTTGATGGGAATTTAAGACCTAGAAAAAATTTCTCCTGTGGATCCTTATGAAAAAGGAGACAATCTTTTGGGGCAACAATCTCCCAAAAGTGCCAGTGGACAAAATGGACAAATCTCAAAGCAATTATGTTTTAAAAGTGCACACTGTATAACTCCATTTATATAAGTTTCTTTTTAAAAATTCAAACTAATCTCCAGTGACAGAATGTAGACCCATTTTTGCTTAGAGATTACTAAGGGAGATTAGATGGTAGGGTTATAAGGACAAGCGGAAACTTTGGGGTTGGTAGATATTTTATTATCTCAGTTTTGATGGATACTTACCAAGTCACATATGCAGATATATGTAAATATATGTAGATTGTCATGTGTCAATTATACCTCAATCAAGCTGCTTTTGGAAGTGGACATGTCCATCATCTATAATGCTGTGAAACATGAGCAAAGCCTTAGTGGCCTATGGCAGTAAGCTGTTGTTGTCAATCAGGGCAAGTAGGTGGATGAGACATTGACTGCTAGTCTCAACCATGCTACAGCAGGGGCCTGAAACAGAAAATCAATGAGCAGCATCAGGCATTGGAGAGTCTGTTAGCTACACTGAAAACACACACTAATGGCAGGCAGGGATGACAATAAACCCCTGCCTTCCCCTTGAGACTACTGCTCGGACCAGGCTGCCTCTCTAATAATTCCATTAGCCACCGTCTACATTTGCACAAAATGCCATAATTTACTAAAACTGGAGGCTCATAGCTAGTTAAGCATGTTTTTATTATCCTCATTTTCTAGAAAAAGCAGAAAGGAGTTATGATTTGTTTGAGGAGACTAACTGAAGCTTTTCTGATCAAGCCTTGCAATCTCCCGCTACCACACAGCATCCTTGAACTCTGAGGCCGGAGCTTCAAGAGGCCCAGAGGGATGCTCAGAAGTGCCACAAGCTCTGTTTCTGTGGACAGACAGATGCGGAGGACAGACAGAGGAACTCATGCCAGTCAGCATTGTTTCAAGCATGGGCTGTCTGCAAGGACATGAATCCCAGTTCCTTATATGAGGGGAAAATAAGGACCTTCTCATACAAACAAAATCATCAGAAATTTGCTATTTCTAGACCCCTACTCTAGGAAATAGTACAATAGACCATAAAATCTAAACCAACAGAATCAAGCAGAAAGCAGATGATCACTGACACCCAAGTCCAAGGATCACAGGCTCCCATGAGAACCTCCATAGGTCCTGCAAGACCCCTGTCCTCCCAGGTCCTTGCTGCTTGCTGGCTGTGCCAGATGAGGGGACCAGTCCCACACCCCTCCACAGAACTGGCCTAACTGGTAGAGCACTCAGTGGTGTATACACAGGCAGCCCAGTGACACAGGAGTTTTATTCTCCCCACTTTTAGTAAGAAGAGGATCCCTACTTCTGACTCCTCTCCCTGCTCTCCTCCTCCAGCCTGGGCTTGTAGAATCCACCCCGGTCATCTTTGGTTAATAGATTTTAGGAGGTGACCCCACTGGCTGCGGCTAGCTGGAGGCTGCGAGCACTGGGCAGGCCCGGGGGCACTGGCATCTACCAGGCACAAGACCCTGCATTTCAGACTCACTGTGTTCTCTAATCCAAGCAGCAGGTCTGCACACTACCTTACACTCCCCATGGATAAGAAAACCCAGTTCAGATGGGGTAAGCACTTCCCACAGTTACCCAGGTAATAACAACAATCTGTTTGCTTTATTGTTAATTTATTTTTTAACAGGAAAGCTGCCACTAGAGCACTCCCCAAATTCGCCTTTGAAGACTGAAGCTTTGTTTCAGTCAAAAGGAGTCAAAATAGTTCTCTCTATGGCAAAGTGGGGCAATCAGGGAAAGGCCTGAGTTCCTAAGACCCTCTCCTGCCATCTGCTGGCCATGTCGCCATAACAAGCCCACGCAAATCTGCAGACCCAGACTGAGGGGAATGAAGCAGCCCCCTGAACCACAGACTCAGGGCCGCCACGTGTGCTTCCCAGGCCTGACTTTCTGGGAGGCAGATGAGGCGAAGACATGATCTCAGACTGTGTCCTCCAAGCCCAGAGAGAGAGAAACAGGGGGGTGCTTGGGCTGAAATTAATTAGGCCAGAAAGAAGTTGATGAACAAATTTACATGGTCCTAGAGGAAGGTCTGGGGACACCTCAGTGTTACCTTGGGGTGTCATCAGTGAGTGCATGGGGTCAGAGCTGCAGCTGGCTAAGTGGAGCTGTGAGAGTGGACCCCTACACTCCCCCTGGAGACAAGTGGGAGCCAGCAAGTCTACAAAGGTGGGTCCAGAACAAAGCCCACCCCAGAAAAACACAAGCTCAGGTGCTTGAACTCCACTCCAACTGCCAAGAATGAGCAGGGAAGAGCTCAGCCAGAGAAGCGTCTCATGCCAGAGCAGACCCCAGGGACTTAAGCAGAACCGGGTGCAAAGCAATAGCGCATGTGCGTGTGTAGTGCAGCCACCATGCGGCAAGCGAGCACCAGCTGGGCAAGGCAGCGGGGTGGCACCCAAGGGCACCGACCCACGGGCACACACTGAAGCCCAGGGCACTTGGGTATGGCCTGCAGGACAGTGAGGAGGGCAGCTATGTGGAAGAAAGGGTAGTGGGCTGTCTTTGGGGCCACTGGGGGTGGTATTGTGATAATCTGGCCTGAGAAACAGGGGGATCTGTGCTCTGGGGTTCTGCTGAAAACCCTTCTATTTACCAGGGACCAATCCAGAAGGCTCTTTTCTCCTTGCATCTTCCCAGCTGCTGCTCCCTGAGACAGAAAAGCCCACCCAGGCTGTGGGTCACAGGCTCACTGAGGCCAAGGAGCCCAGCCCAGGGCAGCGCTGTGGCCAAGCACCTGGGCTCACTTCCTCCTCTCCTCCCCCCAGTGCTGATCGGCGTGGGCACTGAGACCTTCCTGCAGGCTCGGTTCAGAAGCCTGGCTTTCTACCTACTGTGAGTATGTGGACACAGGTCCTCCCTGCTAACCTCACACGGCTAACCTGAGTCTATCGGTAGAGACTAGCCCAGAGTATTCCCCCTTTCCCATGCTCACTCCAATCTACCCCAGAGGTGGAAGGAGCCGAGGGGACTTTTAAGAAATCATCTGGTCTGGGGACACCTTTAGTCAGACCATTAAGTCAAAGGACGAGCCTATCCCATAGTGGTCATTATATAAGTGATAGTTACTACCATGTAAAAGCTGAAGGGCAATCATTAGACACTGAGCGAGAGTAGGAAAAGGTAGAGGCTGAGTACTAGTCATGCAGAGAAAAACAATACTAATGAAACTTTATATACTGATCACCATCACTTTGCCTGTGCAAAAAAAAAAAAGTACCACTTTGTCTGTGGTACTTGCAGGCTTTCTGTGTAGTGAGAAGAATATGGGCATTCAATTAAGTCTTTAGAAATTCTAAAGCAGCTGAAAATTTTTCAGTTCAGCAGGCCAGTGAGACCCTCAAATAGAAAAGAAACTTCTATTCCCAAAGATTCTGCTATATTAAATCTGGGGCTGACACGGCATTATGATTTTACGTATTCCCCAGAAGCGCCTTACTGGGGTCCCTGGCCACACATGGAGCAGAGGCACTTTCGCAGCTTCTAGACTAGGAGAAATATCAGCACGTTCAGGGGTCAGAGGGACCCTTGGGGCAGCCCATGGCTGACTGAGTGGAGAACAGGAGTGGGCAAGGGGAGAAACAGGGAATCAGGGAGACCAAAACGGGGAGGTTGGCGCAGGGGTTTGGGGGTCAGTGCCCAAACTCAGACAATACAGGGGAGGCCAGAGAGAATGAGAGCAAGTCAGGGGCTACTTGAGGAGTGACACCAAGTGCTCCTGCTGACTACTTAAATGCCTGGTGCACAGCCAGACGGTGAGTGTCCCTCCAGCTGACAGTGGGCAGAAGACGTGCCTGCCAGTGTCCACAGGGTTGTCAGGGGCAAGGGAGTGTCCCTGCTGTCCCGTAGCTCCCTGCTCATCTGTTTCTGGGCCCTGGCCCTGACCCCTCCCTCCACCACAGCCCAATGCACCACAGGCCCTGGCACTGAGGCAGGTCCTGGTGGGTGGTGACTGGGTGACAGGATTAGGTCAGGAAATGCCCGACCAGATGGCCAGTTGAGGATGCCCAGGAGGCCAAGTCGCTTTGAGAAGGCAGTGAAAACTGTCCCAAACTTTGCAGTGGGAAAGCAAAAGGAGGATCGGAGGGTTCTGGGCCCCCCTCACCTGTCTCCACCATAGATTTACAGGAGCCGCCGTCTCTTTGTGTGAAGGGGCCTACTTTGTGACGCGGCTGCTGAGCTTCTGCTTCCAGTAAGTACGCTGCTTTCAGAGGGGCCCTCTACCAGCCCGCCTCCCTGGCCCAACACTTCCAGCTGCCTCCACCTGGCCATGGCCAGGGCGATGTCCTGCCCCCCATAGCAGCGTGGATAGGTCCCCTGGCCGCAGCGTGGCCGCCCTAGGCTGGACATGGGCTTTGGACTATGGGTTCAGTGTTCCTCCTTTCCCTGCTCCCAAGCAGGAGAGTGGCCTGACATACTCCTTACAGGCTTATCTCCCCACTCCCATCCCCCACTACCAGAATTCCCCAGTACCCATGCTGCAACCAGTTGCTGTACCCACAGTCCAAGCCATCCCCTGGGGAGTGAGGACCCTGAGGGAGATGTGGTTTTCAGTGTGCAAGGCTGGGTTTGAGGCCTGGCTCCAAGTCCTGCTGGACCACAGTTTTCCACTCTCTGTGGGAGACAGAAGTGCAGGCCTCGTAGGAGCTAGGGAAGTCACGTGACCTTGGAGACACACTTGCTGCCCAGCAGTGGTCATTTCTTGAAAGTTGTCACCAGTGTGATTAAAGGCTGATCCTGGGCCTTGACTCTCAGGACCTATCTCAGTGGGTCTCTAAGTAGTTGGCAAAAGCCAGGCCAAGCCTCAAATCCAACTGTCCTGATGGTGCGCAAGGCCACCAGCTGCCTCTCTGGACCACCATCCCTTGGGCCAGCATCCCTAAGGCAACAACATCTATGCACAACACACTGTCCGGGGATACTTGCAACTTCTTCAGGGCAAGGAGGAAGGAGCCCTGGACCTAAAGCGGCATTTAACCTGGTCTGAACTCCCTGCATTCCCAAACAAGGGCTGCACACAAAAGAGTGACCACCAGGGGGCACCAATGAACCATGACAGTTGACAGCTGTGCTCTAGGCCAGTACATGTGAAGCAACCCTGCAGGAGGCAGTGTGCAGGACCCCACTCCACATGAATTCAGAGGATAACTGAGAAGGCCTAAAATCAAGCACTTTCCTTTCTCTTTTGTAACCTGAAAGCAGTGACCCTCAATAAACCTGCACAGTATCAGGCCTATATGTCCTTATGTAGTCCCTGCATGCCAGTTAGAGAAAATCCCCTCTGAGCTGCCATCTTTTGCAGAGGCAGGCATGGTAAGCAGGGTGCAGCTGTGCTCCAGCCTCTCCTACACGTGGCCAAGCTTCTGGTGCAGTACACAACCCGCAGCATGCCGCACGCAGTGTTCTCTACTGCACATCTCTTGATCCACTGTGGCTTTCCCGTGGGCCCCAAGTCTCCTACTATCCTCACTACCTTTGCAATATCCTGAAAGTTTTTAACTTCCTCTGTCCTTGATAGGGCTGGGAGGCCTTTCAGAAAACGTGTAGATCCTACGGAGGGGTGCAGTGAGGATTTCAGCCCTGGGGTACTCAGCCAGAGGCCGCTAAAAAGAACATGATCACGCAGGAAGAAATCCCAGTCTCCCATAGTGGTGTATGTTCTGGGGCTCTCCTGGGGTGCTTCCTGCTGACCCTAGATTCCCTCCCCCAGGTGTCAGCCGGGGTCCCTGGCCTACAGAGCATGGGAGAAGGCCCAGTGGCTGGGCTGCTTCCAGAAGTTCCTGGCCTACATGCTGCTGTCCGTGGCCTGCTTCCTGCACCCTGTGCTGGTCTGGCACGTGACCATCCCAGGTAGGAGCTCCAGGAAGCCTGTGAAAAGGTACCCCCAGGATAGGGGGGGCTCTGAGGAGGAGAGGCGGGAGCCCCCTTTCATAAGCCTGCTGGCTCTAGAGACCCCACTGATACCACTGGCCTAGACTGTGGAGACGAGGAAACTCTAGGCCAGCCTCCATGCTCCTCAATTGGCAGGAATCTCCCAAGAAGCATCCTTCATGCAGGCATCCAAAGTCTATGCCTGCCAAAGGGCTTCCTTTCAATGCCAGTGTGTGAACTGAGCTTCTCAAATCCACCCCCCTCCCCAGCACTTACCCACTCACATCCAAACACCTCAGCCTGGTTTGGAAGGCACCATATCCTAGAACCCTAAAGACCCCAGAAGTCTCATCATCCTCTCCCACCCCACTTCTTAGACCCAGTTGGTCAGCTGGGTTTCTGTTTATAGAAGCCAAAGCTCCAGACTCCCACATCCTGGGTTTTATCCATGGCTTACTCTGTTAGAACTCATTGTCCCCTAGCCCCAACTATGAGCACTGCTCCTGCCCAGGGCCCATCTCAAAAGCCAGGATGCCCAGCACCCAGGGACGCATCGCTGAAATGTGCAGCTTCTTCAGCCTTCCAGCAGTTTCCCTTAACTGCCCATCACAGCCTCTCAAGGCCCTCCATGAGGCCCTGCAGTGGACTCCTGAGAAGGATTCAGCCATGGCCTCCTGCTCCTCGAGGATGAGATGTACAGGCTGCGGGCTGGGCAGGCAGGCCACCCACCCCTGCTCCTCGGGGGTGCCAGGGTCCCGGCAGGAGACACAGAGCAACAAGTCTCAGCCTTGGACATGGGGACTCTGACCTGGAGTCTGAGCAAGGCTCTCTCCAGGATACACCCAGCATCCTAACCACCAGTTCTCTTCCAGGCTCCATGCTCATCACCACTGGCCTGGCCTACTTCCTGCTGAGCAAGCGGAAGAACAAGGCTGTCCCGGAGGCTCTGGCCTCCCCAGAGCAGTACACAGACCCCTCCAGCAGTGTCGTGAGCACCACTGGCTCTGGGGACACGGAGCAAACCTACACCTTCCAGGGGGCTCTCAAGGAGGGGCCCAGCTCCCTCTTTCTCCACATGAAGAGCATCCTGAAAGGGTCCAAGAGGCCCAGAGCCCACCAGCACCCAAACACCTTGACAGAGCTGACTCTGGAGCCAGCTGGCCTGCTGGCCAAGAAGAAGCAGGTGCACTTTGAAGATAACATGTCAGATGTCAGAATCATCCCCTCCCTCACCGAAGGCCTGGGTGACGAGGACAGTGAGCCAGAGGAGACAGCCTCTGACACCACCCCCATCCTCCCGGCACCCCAGGCCCCACTTTTCCTGGCTTCTCTCACAGGAACCGGCCTCTTCTGAGCTGTTTGCCCCCGCCTGGGGCTCTGCAGAGACAGGTGGGCCTACCTGGAGTTTCCTGATTCTGAGGGTCCTCCAGGGCAGTCACAGGTGAGCTCTTCAAGGAGTCTGGGCCTTTAGGGCCTCAGGCTGTATGGCAGGCCCTGCAGAGGCTTGGAGAGAACCACAGAAGCTCAACAGCCTCAGCCCAGAACAAGTTCTTCCCTCCTGGACGTGGAGTGTGGAAAGCTTTGTGCTGCACCCAAAAGGGAGCTTCACTCCCACCTCATGCAGGTCTGCCTCAGCCCCAGGAGAAGTCATCTTGCTCTGCACATAGGGCCCAGCTTTCTACAAGCACTCACGGCCCACCCATCCAGCTCCAAGGGACCAGGAATGCCCCGCAAGGGAAGCGTCTCCAAGGAGAGTGTTGAAAGCAGCCATCACACCCCAAACGAGATTGCTTAGAGGACGGGAAGGGAAGCAAAACTACGTGGCCTCAACCACACCCAGTGCCACAGTGGGCCACATTCTCTCCACGCTCTGGGGCTGGCGCTGGACAGCAGGCGCTGCAGCCCCGGGAACAATGGCACTCTGTGCTCCCTGCAGGGCAAACAGGGCCAGACGTGAAGTCCGCAGCAGACGTGTTGCTGAGAGAGCCCTGCCTCCCCACCATGGGGAATTCATCAAGATTCCAAGTAGATGACATAAACTAAACAATCCTGAAAGCCGCCGGCAGGGCCGCAGCGCAGGACACAGAGCCCGCTGTGTGCAGCCCACGGCGGCAGCGCCAGGAGACGCCCCGCGCAGACCAGCAGCCACGCCATGCTCCGGGGTCTGGTAGCAAAATAGTTGACAAATAATATGCTTGTTCAACGTGGAAGAGAGGGACAGGTGAGGCAGGAAGGTGGGGGAAAAGGAGAAGGGGATAGGCAGACTAGCTCTCTACTGAGAACCTGCAGGTTGACAGCCCAGGATGTCAACAGCCCAGGTGACAAGAAACACACCTGGAAGAGTAACGTCTGAGCTGTCAGCCCCGATGCAATAAGCACTTCTGTAAAACCAAGCGCTAGAGTTTGGCTCGGACTATGTCTTGGAGGTGAGGTGGGCACTGGGCCCTGGGAGTCCCAGGTGAAGAGATGTGCCTGTGATGCAAGGCAGCGAGGTGCCCTGGGCTGGTCATGAGTCATGAGAGCGCGTGGGACATGCACCATTCGAGGCCGGGCTGGCTGTGATCTGACCGCTCAGCAAAGTCAAACCCTCCGGCACTCTCACTGCTATGGGAGAAAGTCAGAATGAGAGCGTCACATAGACCAGAGCCTGTGCCAGGTAGATAGCGAGAAAGTGGTTCTCCTCAGAGAAGGACGAATGCCATGCATCTCCTCCGACTCTCCGCCGAGACATTCCGGGCTCCCATCCTGCCCCACTGCCCACCCTGCAAAGACGTGATGATGGCCACCATCCTCTCTGAGAAACAGGACTCCGAGGACTGTCCCTGCTCTGGGCCACCTCCCTTTCCCTGCAAAAACTGGAAAAGATGTTTGATAAGTGACGAACTCTGGAAGCAAAAAGAGCACAAACCTGGTGCCATTCCATGTGCCGCTAGCACGCTGGCTGGCCTCTGGTCTCAGGTTCCCACCCTGGGAGGTGGGAAGAGCAACACTTCTCTCAGGACTGGTCCAGTTGCTTCTCCAGGAAGATGGGAAAGGGCTTTTCAGATTACAAATCACCCAAGCTGATGAGTGTACATATTCCTGTTACTGAAAGGGCCTCCCAGGAGGAAGGCTCCGAAAAGCACACACCACCGAGCCTCACGACTGCAGCAAGGCCGATGCAGGGCCAAGAGCTCCTTTCTTGATTCCAGTGCAAGAGCCTGGAAACTGGACGAGGCCACACCTGGCTGACAGCAAGCCAGAGCAGACCCCAGCCACGGTGCTGTGCTGGGGTTCAGCAGGTACATCCTCTCTCTCCCCAGCCAGTCCTAAAGAATGTTTGTGTTTAATTTTTACACCTACTTATTGAGATAAAATTCACATGCCATAAAAAAAATCATCAATTCACAATGCTCAATTAAATGCTTCTTAGTAGATTGGTAAGCCCCAACCCCTGAAGACTACTTCTCTGGTTTATGTCTAAGAGCTTGACTTTTTCACTTCCAAATGAGATAACGTAGCATTTCTTGATCTCATTTCACTTGGAACAGAGTCCTCAGCCCAAGCGTATCACCGCAGAGGGAAGGATTTCCTTCCTTCTCCTGACTGGACAGCACCCGCGTGTCTGTGTGCTCTTGTGTCTGTGTCTGCATTCATCGGTGGGTAGGCAGTTGTTTTTCATATCTTGACTTGTGAAAAGTGCTGCATTGACTGTGCAAGGGAGACCTCTCCTTGTGATCTAACTTTCATTTTTACTGGATATATAGCCAGAAGTGGATTGTTGGGTCATATGGAATTCTATTTTTAATTTTTGAGGAACCTCCATATTGTTTTCTACAGTGAGTAGCTATAACAAGTTACATTCCCATCAATGTGCACTGGGTCCCCTTTTATTCACATCTTTGCCAGCACTTGTTACCTCTTGTCCTTTTGCTAATCGTCATTCTAACATATATGAGCTCATACCTGATTGTGGATTTGCTTCACATTTCTGATGATAATGATGTCAAGTACCTTCTCGTGTACCTGTTGGCCATTTTCTTTGGAAGACTGTTCATTCTGCTTCTCTGCTCATTGTATAATCAAATTATTTCCTTGCTATATGAGTTCTTTATATAACTGGATACTAATCCTTTATCACATATGCGATTAACAAATATTTTCTTCCATTCTATAGGTTGTTTTTTTATTTTATTAATGCTTTCTCCTACTATTCAGAAAGTTTTTAGTTGGATGTAGCCCAACTTGTTTATTTTTGTTTTGGTTGCCTTATTTTCTACAGCAAATCTAAAAACTCCTTGTCAAGACCGATATCAAACAATTTATCCCCAATGTTGAATATAAGTGACAAGAGCAGACATCCTCATCTTATTCTTATTCCTGATCTTAGGGAGAGGGAGAGGAATTCAGTTTTTCTTTTTTTATTTATTTGTTTGTTTGTTTGTCTATGTACATAAGAACTGGGGTACAGGCCAGAGATGTGAGGGGTGAGAGGATTCACTATAGATAGAGTGGGGAGCGGAATAGGTAAACTGACCAAAATACACTGTTGAGGGGAGCAGTGGACAGATCAGGAGAGGTCTGCTGAGCCAAGTGGGTCAGATCCCTGGCCGGGGATTGAACTCATGCTGTGAGCTGTCCAATGGCTTCATAGTGCTGTTCCCCAACCTGTTGGGCCACCAGAGAGGACCCCATTCAGTTTTTCACCACGAGTAATATGTTAGCTATGGTTTTTGTATAACTACTTATCAAGTTGAAGAAATATCCTTCTATTTTTAGTCTGTCGAGTATTTTTATTATGAAAGCTTATTGCATTTTATCAAGAGCTTTTTCTGGATCTTTTAAGATGATCGTTCATTTTTTATTTTCATTCTTTCATATATTGATATGGTTTGTTGCATTCATTGATCCTTAGCCGTTTGAACAACCATGCTGTCATAGGATAAATCCTATTAGTTGATGGCATATAATCCTTTTTACATGTTTCTGGCTTGTTTATATGTTGCTGTATTTTGGGGGGATTTTTGTGTCTATATTCCTAAGAGATTCTGTTCAGTAGTTTTCTAGCCTTGTGATAGCTTTGTGTTATTTTGTATCAGCATAATACTGGCCTCACAGGATGAGTTAGAAGTGTCCTTGAGTGTTCCTTTTATGGGATGTGAACACAGACGGCCTCTCTGGGATCGTTGGCCTGTGTCTAGGTCAGCTCTGCTGGCTCGCAGCTCCCCGCAGCTGCACGTTATTTCTCATCAAGTCCCACGTGCTCCTTCCAGCTTAGTGTGGAACCAGAACATAAGCAATGGTGTGTTGTCCCGAGAACAAACTTGAACCACTTTGGGGGGATTCTGTTCATCCCTTATTTCACCAGTCTCTGCAAGGGAGCAAATCCTATAGTTCCATCCCCTGCCTGTGCAACTTACCAGGTTTTTTCCTGCAAACTGATCTGTCCCTGCATCGTTCCCTCAAAGCCCTGAACTCAACTGGAGCCCTGAAATCTGATCTGCCAGGGTACAGTCACTGTCTAACCACCTGGGATGTACAGGTGACACTCTTGGGAGACAAAGAGAGACTGTGCCCATTGAGTGGATGGGAGCTACTCCCAGGGAATCTGCCTGCCTCCTTGTCACCTCAGTCTCCTAGGGTATTAGAAGCACTGCTAAGTTCAAACCTTTGCATGGGAAAGAATTGAAATCAGAGATGTCAAAGTTTAAGTGGAACATTATGTTCCAAGTTTCACATTATGACAGGGGTGAAAACGACAGGCCAGGAGCATGGCTCCACTCAGCTCTGCTGAGATTTGGGGCTGTGGGTCACATGTACTTTGAGGGAATGAGGTCATTTCTCTGGGCCCTGCCAGCAGGGAGCCTCAGGGACAGCTATGCACATTAACAAGAATGAGCCCAGACTTCAGAGCAGGCCCCAGGAAAATCCAATACTGAGTCTAAAGATAGGCTATGTGACTTTTTTTATAGCATGAGCTTCTGGGAAATTTGCATAGTCTCTAAGGACAGCGATCTAGGAAAGCAGGGAACATTAGAAATAGGAATTACCCTGGGAATACCCTGGGGCAGGTGCAAGAACCGCCCAGTGGAATGTTTACCACCTAATGGATATTGAAAGCCTCTGTGAGTGTCAAATCAAATTTCTCTTCAAAGAGAAGATAACAAGGGAAGTGAGGGGCGTTGCCTGTGATGATTCATTTGTCCTTCAGCAGCTGCTTCTGTCTGGGGTGCACACAGCCCAGAGTGGGGGCCGCCGACCCACTCTTGCTTCGGTTTCAAGTTCCCAGGAAATTCAGTGGGATGGTTGCAGGCCCTGAGTCGGAGTTTCCACTTTTCTGAGAGGAACATGTTTCCGTCCCTTAAACCAGCAGCACTGGAACTTACAAATTTGGAGATTAAGCCATTGAGTAATGTGCAGCTTAACTCAATGCACCTAAGGGTGGGCCAGAAACCCTGCAGCGTGCTGGACTGGAGGGGTGAGCTCAGCAGCCTGTGTCATTCTATAGATGGGCCCTAAGTGTGACTGACTTGAGGCAGATATAAGCATAACAAAGAAACTGCAAACAGGGTGCTCTGGGAGATGCATTCAGAGAGACACCTAGGCAGGTAGATACGAGTTGAGCCTCAAAAGTAAGACTAGAATATGATCAGAAAATTGTCTATCCTGTGACAAGGGAAGAGGGACTGAGTCCATCAGCCTGAGGCAGCAGATGTGTTCACCAAATGATGCCTGTGCAGTAGACATGGTATGAGACAAAAAGCCACGCCAGTGACAGTGACAGTGACAGTGACAGTAACAAGGGAAACAACTGAGAGCTGAGTGTGCTGGGCGGTGGGGTTGTAAGTTCCCGCTCCTCTGCGCTCCCTGTGTGAGGCAGGGCCTGCTGACATCACACTGTGCAGCTGGGAAACGACAGAGTGGAGAGTTAGCCACTGGCAGGCTGACGCACCTGTTCAAGCAGTGTATCATAACCAGCCCCAGCTCCTGGGTCAGGAGAACCTGCCTTCAGGACAAAGCCTGAGACAGGCAGCAGCCTTAGCCTTCCTCCGGCCTCTCTCCTGTCATATTTTTGAATGAGAATAACTGACCAGATAACTTGAAGGTCTCTTTCAGCTAAGTCATCTGAAATGCTAATATTTCTCAGATGGAGAGTGGGATGCTGGGGTGTGGAGGGAGATTAGGAAAGGGACAGTGAGTGGGAGAATGAGAGAGCAGTTCAGGTGAGACGAGGTAAAATGCCAGCTCCCCATTTTTGTTGTAAATGTTCATCTCATTCCCGGCTTCTAATTTGAACACTGGTCACTCTTACCCTAGTATGCGCAGGGCCAGAACAGTGCCCCCCACATCAACACTGCCATCAACCTTGGCTTTCCCCTGGGCAGCTGATGGGCAAGGCCTGCCTCCCAGCACAGAAACCCCAGCGGCCACAGGGTGGTCTCCCGTGGCCTGTGCAGGTGAGAAGCGGTTAACTAAATGTCACCTTGACACGTGGGAACAGGGTGTAACTACCAGAGCTACTGCCCAGGTGGGTTCCCAGATACCAGGGTGCTCCTGCCTCTGCGTGCTGTGCTTCGCTCTGTGCTGTTTATAAAGGTGAGCAGAGAAGAGTAGCCATCACAGCTGCCCAGGGCCACGCTTGCCCCCTCCAAAACTCACAGATGAAGACCCCTCAGCAGCTGGTGGGGCTGATGGACCTCAGACGCCTGTGACCTCTCTTCATTTCTCCAAGGGCATTTTCATTTCCCTTTTCTTCACCTTGGATAACTCCTGTGCTCATGGTCACACTGCTTTTCTCCAGCCAGGGTCCCCTCCAGTAATCAAGATCCTGCACCCACTACATGGCGGTCAACAGGAAACTTTCCTCTCCAGCCTGTTTCCCCTCTTCTTCCCCTTCAGATGCCGCTCACCCCTCCCAAGGTGGTGAGGTGACGTGACCCCTTGGAAAGGACACCCCGCAGCTACTAGGGCTCTACAGTGACAGCAGGCAGAGCCGGGGTCCCCAGGGGCTCTGTCACTTCCTAGCTTGCTGGAAGAGTCAGATTTTCCCATGGCTCATTTACCTTCCTCCTTGGCCAGCCATGTGCACCCCTGAGTCCATCCACAGTCCATCTTCTCAGGGTGCCCGCACCCTTGTTCTGGGCAATTAGAAGCGAGAGAGGCTGGCCCTGTCCCAGCTGGGAAAGGTTTCCTTGCTGCTGAAATGAGCTTCACTAGAGCATACTTCCACTTCATGTCAGCTGGAAAGACCCAAACCATCTGTAAATGCCAGGAGGAACTACAGCAATACTGAAGGTGATAGCATGTAAAGATTGAAAGCACCTCTTGTTTCCCTGAATATGCTTCTGAGACATTGACTCAGCCACTCCTGGAATTGCCCATTGTTGGGGCTTTTTACTAGGGGAGACAACACAATCCCCATTGTTTGAAGTATTTATTCCTCAAAGCTGGACACAGCCAACCCAGAATGTAGCGTCTCCACACACTTTATCAGATGTGGCAGGGAGCAAAGGTCTGACATCATCCAAACTCTTCCTTTATCCACAGTCCAGATTGAACCCTCTGCCTGCGTTTGTATGTAGAGCTTTATTGGAACACAGCCACACCACTCATAGATTATCTATGGCTGCTTTGGCTTGGGTAGTAGCAAAAGACACTGTAAAGTCTACACAAAGGACATATTTATTACCTGACCAACTGCTAATTTAGATTCATTAGGCTGGAGAGAGGCAGAAGTTCTTAGAAAATTTCCCCCAATTATATAAGTACATGAAAACATGAAATCTCTGGAGAAAGGCACTATTACATCAGAGGTCTCAGGCCACAGATTTGTCCTGAGAGGGACATGAGGGAGTACGAGCTATTGGCCACACTCACCAGTTGAAATGGGTAATTCTGTGACCACCTGACTAAGCCATGGTGCCCAGTTGTTTGGTCAACACAGCAGTCTAGATGTTGCTATGAAGGGATTTTTTTAAGGTATAATGAGTAAAGTAGATTACACTCCATGAGGTGGTAGGTCTCATCCAATCAGCTGCAGGACACAGGAGAAAAGACTGAGGTTTCCCTAGGAAGCAATTCTGCCTTAAGGCTGCGATACAGCTACTACCTGAGCATCCGGCTGTGGGTCTGCAGATTTCAGACTCAGGACTGCAGCGTCAGCTCTTCCATAAACTCAACATCTCCAGCCTCCTGCCCAAACAAAAGATTTTGGTTTGGTGAACAGCCCCCACATCACAATGAACACACACACACACACAACCCTTGATTTATATCAGGAACTACATCTCCTCTTGGTTCTATTTCTCCAGAAAACCTTAATACACTGATCATTCTATTTCTCTTGCAGCTGTAAGATCACCTCTTCTGTGTTATACTGAGTTTTCAGAGTCAAAACTCAGAAATATCAAAAGCCAGAAATGATTCTCAAATGGATGCAAATTTAAACTCACAGTTTCTTGGTTCAAAGTTGCAAAGGTTGGGAAAGAAACCTGGGGATGGGCTGATCCCGTCACTCCAGGGACTAAACAGAGATGGCTTTGATAGCAGGTTCAGAGGTGAGGTCAACTCAGCTGAAACATCTTTTTAAACACAGGGTGAGCAGGTCAAGTCTGGCTGGCTCACCCCTTGCCCAGTGAGGATGTTTTACATTCCTTGGGAACTGCATGCTTGGAAGGAGAGGTAGAGGAGGCTGCTCTCCCCTCCAGGACTAGGCAGCAGCCACATCCTCTGGCTGGCCAGTCTTCCCAGAGTGCCCTGGGGATGATCTGCTTTGAAATGCACAGCACAGGAATTGGACAAATACCCCTTGTTTGTGCGAATGCTCTGTGCTTTCTCAGGGTTCCTTTCTTTTCCATCTGGAAGGTCTCCACTTCCTTTGGCAGTTTAACATCCTGGCTTGAGGGAAGGGCCTGATCCTTTTGAGTTTTCAGCTTTGAATTTCAGTCAGTCTCTTGCCATTCATATGAATACTGACTCTGAAGCAACACCAAACCCCTCATGGAGGGAAATCCTGATTTCAGATATTCTCTTGAAATATATGCCCTTCTGTAAACTCTACTGCCCTTCTACAGCCAGCTCCCCATTAAGTAACATTTTGTATTCTTAAGCATTCAACATCGAGTGATTTTCTAATATGACGACATCGTAGTCATGCTGAAAATGCAGTGTGCACAGGTGTTTGCACTGCCAAAGGTGCCTTTACCTTGTTTATGAGACACAGCAACTCATGGCCACTACAATGTCTGACGAGCTTTCTAGCAGCCCCATGTTGCAGCATCTTCTGGAAGAACAGTCCAAGCAGAAGGTGAGGGGAGGGGTGTGTAACACATGGGTGGCACGTAAGTGACACAGGTATGGGGAAGGCTTGAGAGGGCCGGGGAAACCTAAGGAAGTGAGAAGATATCTCTATAGTGGATCCATGAATCTATACACATAATTTCCAGTGTCACAAAGATTGAGAAAAGAAGGTGGAGAAGAAGACTTGATTCATCAACAAACTTGATGTTGCACTTTTGAGTCTGAAATTTGCAGGCCTGACGCCTAGAAAGTCAAGCAGGGTTTCTACATTTCAGTTTAAGCTCTCTATTTACAGACATTCATGCTATACCTGTCCTCACTTACGTTCTTGGAATAGACCTCAGGAAAATTGCATCTTTTTTTAATTTAAATTTTATTGTGGTATAAGTAATACAAATTACTTTCAGGCATACAACATCATGAGTCAGTATTTGTATATATTGCATAATGATTGCCACAATAACCTCCTTAACATCCATCATGATACACAGTTACAAAAAGTTTTTCTCGTTATGAGCACTTTTAAGATCTACCTTCAATAACTTTGAGATATGAGATACAGTATTATTAACTATCATCACCATATGTATGTTACATCCCCAGGACTCACTTATTTCATAACTGGAAATTTAAATCTTTTGACTACTTCTACACATTTCACCTGCACCTCTCCCCTCCCCCTCCCCCACTCACTCCTCTGCCTCTGGCAAGTGCAGGGTTTTTTGGATTTGGGAGATTGTGTGTGTGTATGTGTGATATTGTTTTTATTTTCAAATTCCGCATATAAGTCACACGCTTTTCTTAAGACCAAGTGGAATACGGTTCTATAGATGAGCAGATGCTTTTCCCTAAAAGGAAGTTTCTGCAGCAATCTTTAGCTATATCACCTTTCAAGGCCAGCTCCCTCCCTCCTAGAAAGGTCTGTGCCTAAACACTAACTAGTCCTACAGTGTAGGATACAAAAGTTTCCCATGAATCTCCATAATAGAAAAATAACATGTGGGTATGTGTTTACGTGTGTATGTATTTAATGAGAAGGGATTTATATGACAGAAGTCATTGAAATTTATGTCCATTTTGGAGAACAAATTCTCATTCCAGCCTACCTCTGGTATGGGTTGAATATCCATATATTAACTTGCAGCTATTACTTTTATGGTAACAAATGGAGTTAATGAACACCATATAACAGAGAAAAGAAGAGTAAACACTATGTAGATTATTTGAGAAATCATCTGAAAACCAATATCAAATCCTTCTGTATGTTACACTCATGTGATGGAGTGACCTCAGTATTCAAGGATTCTCCCAAAACAAATGGCACAAGAAGCATTCAGTAAATGCCCTCATCCTGCTGGTGGGTTCAGCAAAATAGAACCTATTAACGGAAAAGAAAAGTGGCTCATTTTAAACTGTATGTTACAGATCTCAATTAAGTGCAATCATCAATTGTTTTCTAAAGAATGTATATTTGAAATCATGTGGACACTTTGAAAAGTTGCTTTCAAAAGCCATTTGTTCTGAATCATCTGTTGGGAGAAGTAAAGAGGGAAGATCATTTAAAGTCATTCATAAAAGACCTTAGGCAATGAACCAGGCATTTTACTCCAACTCCCATTTACTGCTTTAAGGGAATGGCCTTGAAAATGTTCTTTATTGTTAATGTCATTTATGTTAAAACAGAGGCTTATTTTTCAAGACTCAAAGAAATCTAAATTGCATCTTAACAATATGTGGTGCTACCCAATCATTTTCATGACTTGCTTCTCTATGCACCAGAAAGAAGAAAGTAATTTCTTAGTCATCATGGAGCAGTGTCCTGCTGTCAAGAAGGCTCTGGCCAGAGCTAAGCAGAGCCCAATGACCAGTAGCGTTCCTTGACCAATGAGACCCACGTGTGTCCTCTCAGACTCTCCGGTTCTTTGAAGTTCCCCACTTACAAATTAAATATAAACTTATGCTGTATGACTCTTCTGTGACTAAAACTGTTAAATAGTGTTTCCAAAATATACAACAGGCTGAAAAGGAATAGGTTTGGGCCAGGAAAGGACATTCAAAAAGAAGATGGTTTGTGAGTAAACAATGAAAGAACATAGTGGAGCAACTTCTGTAGACATTTAGGAGAAATTCCTTTTAGGTTGATGGAACAGCACGTGCAAAGGGCCTGGGATTGTAGCAAACCTGGTATGTGGGAAGAAGGAAGTGGCTGGGTATGGCAAGATAAAACAGAAATTGCAGGAGTCCTAGCAAGCAGCGGTAACTGGAAAAGTTTATTTTGCTTTGTCGTAGAATCTGATTTCTTTCAGGGTGGCGCTTTAAAACCAAGTAAGCAACCAGCAGGCCTGCACACAGATGCCCCTTGAGCAAAAATAAGGGTTTTACATAACCTGTTCCCCGTCCCGCACAAGCTACTGCGGCATGGGCTCAGCCTTTCTTGGGAACCCAAGGGCCCCCATCACCCTTGGGCCCCTGGCCTTCGTGGGCCCTTTGGACCCTCCCGCCTGAGCCGGGGCTGCTTCCTCCTAGCACCTCTGCCCGCTCTCAGCGCGATCCCGAGACACCCGTTAGATTCCAACCCTCCGGCCACCTTCAGCACCTATCCGAGTCCACCCTTCCCGGCACGCCCCGAGCAGGGCGGGCCGAACGAGGAGGTGCCATTGGCCCGCCTGGTGCGAGGGGCGCGCCCGGGGCGGAGCTAGAGAGAGAGACGGGGAGACGCTATTGGCCAGGGAGGGGTGAAGGGCGGGGAGGAGCGGACCCGAAGCGCGGAGTCCCGAAGCCCTGGGCTACAGGCTGCGCGTCTCTCCTGGGCGTGAGCGAGGGCACAGCATTGGCAGCGGCTTCCGGACAGCGCGATGAGTGGACGGTGAGTGACACATGGGCAAGGGAGTTCGGGGACGGCCTCCGAGCACCGACCCACCGCTTTCTGGAGCTCCGAACCCGTCCCTAGCCCTGGGAGCTGGGGGCTGGGCACAGGTGCCCCACGCTGCAGCGCGCACGGGCCCCTCCCCCTGCCAGTCTGGCGCGCCCGGGCCTCAGGTCCATTACTAGACTGGGCACTGCACCAAGCGCCTCCTCGAAGGGGAGGACACTTTAAGGGCCCAAACCGCGAGACAGGTAAGCCGGCTTCAGACTACACTTTGCCCACCTTCTCCCCCACCTTAGCCAATAACCTAGAAGTATTTGTCTTTGTGCAGTGGGGGCAGATTCAAAGCCCTTTGCCATAATTCTCAGGTTTCATACGTGGAAAACCAGCGCCAAGAAAATAATAAGAGGAGGGACTTGCCTCACAGTTGCCATTTATAAAGGATTTCTCTTTTTCCAAGACCTGTGCTAAGGACCAGAGCAGAATGCCACCTAAAACTCACAGCTCTGACACTTTCATTTTCCCCCATTGTCAGATGAGAAAACTGAGGCTTAAAGAGTCAGGGTAGTGACCAGTTTTACCCAGATGAGCCAATGATGGGGTCAAGCTCTGGACCCCTATTTTGTTGCGCCAGGTCTTATTTCACCCAACCTCAGAACTTTCTCTGCAAGAGACCTTGCTTCTAAGACTGCTGATTCACAGCCCTACAGTTCCCACCTCCCGGTATGCCTCTGTATTCTCATTAGTCTGACAGTCCTGGGGGGGCAGGGAGTGGGGGTGGGGGACTCCTCTCACACCAGGCTCAGTGCCAGTGCTTCCCTACAGCTCTGTGAGGAAAGTGCTAGTCACCCCACATCACAGACAGTTAAATAAGTTCACAGCCAATAAGCCTGGGATTCTGGAATTTGAACCCAATCAGGCTAGATTCCTAAGCCAGGCTCTGGCACTAACAGAGACGCCCTTGCTGGCTTCTTTATGGTTTGTGCCCACAGCACAATCAAGATTGATTGCTAGAACCCATTATTTAAAAACAGCAACTGTAACTGTGACTGTAACTGATTGATAGGACAGGTAGGCGCAGACCTGTCTGCCTCTCGCTCCCCTGTGGAATAGTTGAGCTGCTGCCACCAGGGAGGTGCTGGGGAGGGGAAGTGGGAGGAGAAGCCTTGGGGAGGGGAAGAAGGGGAAGGAGAAAAGGGGAAGGGGAAAAGGAGAAGATGGAATATATTAAACTTCTGTCAAAAAATTGCTGGCTGGAAATTGTAATGGGGTGTGTTTCGGGACTTTGTTGATTAAGTTTGTTTTCATTAGTTCTTGTTACGGTTCTCTCACTGGAGTGCTCTTTTTGTGTAGTGCTGGTGGGTCAAGACTTGACATTGAAAGTGAACTGAGGCCACAGGTTAAAGTATCGGTGTGAAAACTGGGAGGGGGTTGCTAGGCTCCCCCCTCGAGACACTAGTGGATGGCCTGGAGGATGAAAGCTGCTGAAGGCCCAGGTTCCCCCTGGCTCAGGCCAGCCAGCCCAAGGCATACAGCAAACAACATGAACAGAACTGCTGCTGGCATGTGTCGAAGTCAGATCCCGTGAGTACAAAGCCACAGAGGGGAGACCTTGGCTGCAGGACCTACCAGAAGGTACTCTGGACTGGCCCTCTGGGGACCAAGGCCCTGGTTTTGAGAGTAATATCAGCCTATGTCCTTGATCCCAGCAGTTACTGAGGGAAGGACTGTTATTCTGTTTTCAGAACCCCGTTGTCTCTCCCGAGCCCCCTAACCTATAATTGGGGCTTCTTTTTATTTGGAGTGAATCCTGAGTGAGACCCATCTTACATGTGTCCGCATTCACCTTTACAACAGTGAGTGATTCAATTCAAGAGCAACCTGAGGTTCAGAGAGAAAAAGGGACTTGCCTGAGGTCACACAGCTTCAGCATCATGGAGCCTTGGGAAGGCTATGTGGTTAGCCAATCACAAAGTTTATTGATGAAAATAATTGGAAGTTGTTTTAAAGTAAATTAAAATAAAATAGGAAGTGGCTGTACCTCCCAAGGTTTCTGTGGTTTTATTCATTCTCATCAAAGGGGAACTTTCCAGGTTGCTCAATCTCTTTTCCTGACTGTCTGACTTCCTCCCCAGAAGACACTGTTTAAGGAAAGATTTGGAGGTCTCTCCCTGCCTGAACGTGAGGGGTCAGGGCAAAGGTGTCATACAGCTAGGAAGAGTCCCCAGGGTACTCTAAACCAGCTGCTATAGTCTCCTGCTAAATGATATCTGTGGCATGTGGCACATCATTGCAGAAGCCACATGCCAAGTTGATGCCCCAGCAAAACTCACACTAGAATTCTCTCCATTATGCTCTTTGCTTTCTCTGTTGCTGTGACAGTTTCAGCAGAAGTCTTAACCCGAGATCGGGTGACCCAGGAGCACATGAACAGGGCCTTCTTGAGCTCTCTGCAATTCATGTGCAAATTCAGTGTGTCTGTGTAGATGTATTCACACCCTCGTGTGCGTTTTTCTGAGGAGAAAGCATTAAGCTTTCAAGAGATCCCAAAGGGCTCCATAACCAGAAGAGTCTAAGTTTCACCATGCCTTGCAGAAGACCGCCCCCAGCAGCTTCACTGGCACACAGGCCTGGCCCCGTGGTTAGTACAGATCGGGCAGCTGCAGAGTGCCCAGCCTCCACTCAAGGCCCACCTCCGAGCTATCCCTGGGGCCCAAGCGGTCATTCCGAGAAACAGTGTGACCCCAAAACCAGAGCTGAGGAGATTTCTGTTCCCATAGACCCCTCTGCCTTAGGCAGGAGGTGAGTCCGTTTGCGGAGTAGAGAGGTCTTGCAGGGCCAGGAGTGTGCACAAGGAGGAACAGGGAGACTGGAAACAACTTTCTTGGCCCACGTTGCAATGCTCTAAAAATTAGGTCAAAGGCCAGAAGTCTGGCTCGGGGATCCGGGTGAGGCATTGGCCCTGGGCTGGGCTGGCAGGAAGTTGTGAGAAAGACCAGTCGCACAGGTACAGAGGCCCAGGCTCTTCAGAGGAAGGGCACTTAGTGGCAGGGAGGCAGGCCCATGTGGTAGAGTGTGCTCATGTTGGTCGGAAGCCAGGACAGCCTCATTGGAAGGACACAGGAAAGTGAGCTGAGTCCAGGGGCCAGTCCAGAGGAGGGCAACGAGGAAGTCTTGGCGGCTGTGAGCTCTGGCCACCTCGCCCACTCTCAGCACCCTATCCGGAATGCGCATGCCCTCCCAGAGCTCCAAACCCTGCTGGGGCAGGGAAGGCCGTGGCCAAGTCAGGGTAGGGCGCAGGGGCAGGGGTGGGCAGGAAAAGTACGGAGGGCAGGTGGGAGCGGGCTTCTGCCACCCACATCCCAACTGCTGGCCTTCTCTATAAAAATGTGTTGCTCAGTGGCAGCCTGTGTCGAGGCAGACCCCTTCTCGGAGACAGCTGCCAGCAATAGGCACTGTAGCTTCTGTCCTGGCCAGCCCCCTGTCATTTGCTGGCTAACAGGTGCAGGGAAGCTCCCTGTGTAAAGTCTCATTGTCTTAGCTCCTCCCTGCTGGCCTCGGCGGGCATGTGGACATGTAACCAGGCTGCAGAGCAAGAAGCTTAGCTCTCCCGGGACTGCAGGGACTGCAAGGGGGTGTTGCCAGAGCCTGCCCTGGCCCTCCGACCTCCTGCCTCCTTCTAGTGGGAGCAGACATGGTTGAGAGGCCCCACGCTGTGACCCACCTTCTCTGGCCTCCTTTCTTGTGCTTCTCATTCACTTTTTCTGTATGTTTTATTGCAATCACGCCTAAATAAGAAAGTAAGCTTAATTTTATGAAGCGTTGGAACAGAGATGACCAAACTCTTAGATTACACAGCTGTCCTCAGAACATTTTAATTTGGATGCTGACACCTTTTCCATTTTGCAAGCAAGGACAGCTGTCAACTTATGCGATTAATTTTTTTTTTTTTTGCAGTACAAAAGTTAATTTAATATCAATACTCATTACTCAAACACAACTGTATACTTTATGAAATAGTAACAACACAATAATTTAGTTGTAACAAAGCCATTAAGAGAAATAAAAACAAAGCTAATTAAGAGGCATTGCTTCAGCTCTTTCCTTTAAAATAAAGTTTAAAATAGTGAGCAATTAAAACCATGCCCTTAAAATAATTCAAAACTAACAAAATAAAGAAAGAAATGTGATAAGTTTCTTTCCTCTTATCCTGGGGGAAAAAGCACCTATTCACTTCTCATTGTTCTCAACTACTTTTGATTATTATAGTAGAGTTTATCAAACACCAGAGATTGGAAGTTACACAAACATGCTACCCAAATTGAAATTCTTTACACTTAGAAATACTATGCCTCACAATTTTAAGTTTGCATAGATATTTAAATTACCTATTAGTTTAACTAGAAGTCAGTAAAATGTATCTGAAAGCATTTTATTAACAATTGTTATAAAACAATATTTACTTCATGTACCATAAACTTTTTGGTGCAGATAGGAATATTTGAGTATTTCCCTATCTCTAGAACTGTCAGGATTCCTCTTCAAAGTTAGAATCTGAGCAAAATTTTCCTTTAGGAATGCATACATACAATACTTCCTCCATAACTGCACTATATATTCTTGATAAATCTCTATTGGGAAGTTCAGTAGTGACTGCAGGCATTTATCTTTAAAACAACTTTTCCTCATTTTTCAGGTTTGGGAACAAATATCACATTAGGTATGGAAAATAACTCTCTCCCTTAAGAATACATAAATTTAAAGTTGTCTTCTCCACTTCAGAAAAAAACATTTTCTTAGTTCCTTCTGTCAGGACTCCATGTCAATCTCAACCACTTCATTCTTGCCCTGCAGCATTGGTTTCCTCAGGTTATCTTCATTTATGTCTTCGATGTCTGCCAGATTAAGAGGTGGTAAGGGATTCCTCCAGTACTGGAAGGTATTACACTGCCAAAATTCTTCATTGAGCTGGCGCTCAGAGGGCCCCCAGTCCGCGATTAATTTTTATTGTATAGAAAGAAGGCGTGGTAATACCAAAAATTCAGTTGTACAGCCTTGAGATAAAAGGCTTTACGATGTTCTCGATTTAGCCTCATGGAAGCTATGCTCCCTTCGCCTTCTTTTCATCCTTTGCCATGGGCCAATCAGAGTGGGACTGTTATGCTGATTTGCAGAACCCCAGAGCTGCCTGCATCTGTGATAATTAACCCCACAAAAGAGGAGAGCGGGGTCAAGTCTAGCAGTTGGAAAGGCTTCGGTGTCCTTTGTCCCAAACCAAACACCAGGACAATAGCACAGGCAGGCTGTGGTGGCCGCTGATGGCTGGCAGAGCAGCCACTGAGGTGAAAAACAAAAACAATTCACTATCTTTCACTGGGGACAGGTAACCAAGGCTGGCGGGCACCCTGGGGCCCCTCCTCTGGGGACAAGCAGCCATGGCTGCAGGGCAACCCTCTGGTTGGGGACAGTTTCCTTCAGCCTGCAAGCAAACATGGAGGCCTGGGCTGTGTGCCCTGGGGCTGGGGGAGGGGCGCAGGCCAGCACAAAGGCGGCTGGACTCCCAGGAGCAGCAGGGCTCCGCCTGCCCACGCATCTGTCACTGGCTCTCAGCTGTGCCTGGTGGCCAGCAGGCAACCCCAGCCCTTTGCCTGAGTCAACCAACCTTGCCTTAATCCCTTTGTGCTGGGCTTCCCCTTAGGGCTTTCTTTAAAGGTGAGCTTATACTTTTTATAGAAGATTGAAAAACACTGCATTCGAGTTTCTCCAAAGCCTGCCTGAGGCGCAAGGAGAGTGAGCATTCAAGGGCAGTTTCTGGACCATGCTCCAAATGGAGAGAAATCTGCTTTCTTATTAAGTGTGCACTCTCTCTCTCTCTCTCTCTCTCTCTCTCTCTCTCCCTCTCTTTCTCCCTCTCCCTCTTGCTCTCCCTCTCTCTATCTCTCTCTCTCCCCTCCCCCCCTCTCTCTTTCTTTCAATCAGTAGTTCTGTAGGATGCTTCTTAGATGCTTGTGCAGTTCCCTGACACTGGGAATATTAAAGTGGATAAAAATTTTCCCAACCTGAAGTCTATAAAAGAGACACAAATACACAGAGTTTAAGTTTGAACTGGTGTTCTGTGCATGACCCCAGCACTCTGGACTGAACCTTGGGGAGAAGATTTGCCTATTCGGCCTCAGGGAGGGGGCTTGTGCGAACTACAGGCTTGCTCAGGGCCACGTGGGTGATGGCTGTCAGAGGAAGATGCGCTACTCTCAGTGGAGACGTGGTTTGCCATGATGCACAGACCCCCACCCCATGAGATTAAGACCTACATCTGCACCTGAAGGAGCCCCTTTTGCTGAAGTGTGCCTTTCAGCGCCCCATCAGCCTCGCTCACTTACCTGCTGCCTTCATTGGGGATGGTGAGCCCCATTCCTGTGTCTGCCAAGCTAAATTCTTTACCCTATGAGCCATCTGCAGCCAGGACCTTCCCTCACTTTCCTCCTGTTCCTTCCTCAGAACAACCTCCCCAGTCGATGTCCTGAGCCAGAGACACAGGTAGCTATCCCTTAAGTAAGCCACCTCCTGAGCATCAAGCTCTGCAGACCAGTGTAAGGGGGCTCTCACGTGTCACTCAGCCCAGTGTTTTGCAGATAGCATTATCTGGAACCTCAGGAGAGGTGCAGGGTGCACCCCTACCCCCACCACTTACCTCCCTAGCAACCAAAGCAGTTCCCAATGATCTGATTTGCATAATCATTCCATTTGAACAAAGTGTTCTATTGGTTGAGAACATTTAATCCACGAGAGGTCAATATTCTCATTGTTCACTTGGGAAAATTCAGGCTCAGAGAAGAAAGAGCACACAACTGAAGTCATGTGAAGTCACAGCCCAGAGCTCTTTAGGAGGCATCCTCCAGGAATAACTATCGCAGCTTGACTTAACAAGAATTCCACTTTTAAAAATTCCTACTACCTAGACCAACATGAGCTCTTCCCCACATGCTTGTGGGAATGTAAGTATTAGAGAGAGAGAGTCAAGTGGTGAATCAAAAAGGCACACCAAGTGCATCTTGCAAGTGTGTTTTGTCTGGCTGTATTTCACTTTTCGCTACATATACATTTGTTATTGTTGAATGACTTTCTGCATTAATCAGAATAGTCCAGGTTATAATGCAATAACATCCCAGAAACACCAGAGGCTTCTCAGAGAGGTGTGTTTCTTTGTCCCAGCTCATATCCAGTGTGGTTAGCAAGACTCTGGCCCTCAGAAGTACTCCTGGCCATAGGCTGGCCCTCAAGAAGTGGTACCTATTGGGATGTGTGTCTTTGTGTGTCACCAAGCTAGAGACCAGGAATGCTTCAGAGTCATGCTGTGACCCAAATAAGTGATGTGGAGTGACACACAGCACTTCCGTTTGCAGAACTGTCACCTGGCCTCACAGCTCCAGGAGCTGAAAGGTGTGAGCCATCATGTGATCCTGCTGGCTATGCTGGTCGATGCCCCCACCACCAACTTTAGGCAGTGACATACAGCCCATCAAAATACAGCTTTCTGCTTCTCGTGAAATACCAGCAGAGCTGCCCCTCTAGAGCAGACTGAGTCCCCCGGCCCCCATAGACTCCACCGACCAGTGTCTCTCTGGCCCTGGGGACTTTTACATGGGTCAGCTGTGCATGCACAACTCCAGGAAAGTTGGCTTCTGAAGAGCTGTGAGACTTACTGTATTCCCATAATTCAACAGCCATTTGTGGACCCCTGCAAGACACCAGATTTGTGATCAGTGCTGGTGACAAATGATGAGGCAGAAAAGCAGTGTCACTGCTGTCTGAATCACATGCACTGAGGCAGCAGCAGACCCTGCAGGGCCCAGCACAGCAAGCCCCAGGAAAGGGGTGCTGGGGCAGGAGAGGGACCCTGAGACTGGAAGAGAGGGCTGCTCTGACAGGACTTCCTGCAGGAGGTAGCACCAGCTGTAGGACCAGAAGGAATGACAGCACCAGAAAAGCCCAAGAGCATAGAGGCACTTAGAGGAGCAGTGAGCAACTCAGGCTGGAGCTCAGAGCAGGAAGTAGGAGAAAAGCACCTACAGAAGAAGACAAGAGAAAAAAATCACCCCCTATTATTTTGGGGAAAATCCAACCCTCCCTATATGAACTTATTAAAACACGACATAGCCGTGCCATGGGCCCAGTTTTAAGGAAGAACCCCAGATAGAGGCTCTGTCAACGGCATCTGAAGTGTTTGAGGAACCACTCAGAGAGGGAGCCTGGCTGATCACCTCTTCCCCTGAAAAGCTGAGGTGCTGAGGAACTGAACCCCTATTTTCAAGTCTCGGTTGTTCCGGTAATAAGAATGCTACTGAAAGCCCTAGTTACAGGCCTTTATGATGCCTCGGCCTGTGCCAGGGGGCAGTGGGGCCTCCTGCAAGCCACCGTTGGGGGATTGACCTCTTGGCAGGCCATAATTTTCCATATTCTAGACCAAGGTAGAAGGAAGGTTCTTAAGAGGATGAGTCTGAGGGACTATAAGCCCATCTCCCTCAAATCACTTCCCTTCCCATGCCAACCACATTCCCCTGGCCTCCTGGATCAAACACTCAAAGCTGATGCCAACACAGAAAATATGTTAACGTGGTTTGTGGGTGGGCACACACGAGCAGGGAAAAGGTGTGCTGAACTGGACGTGGTCAGTGCCCAAGGGAGAGCGTGCAGGCAGTGACAGGCTCAGAGAACCCTAGTAAAACAGGAAACTTCACCTCGAGCCACCCAGTAACATTTGCACACCATGGCCAGGAAGGTGAGACTGTCAGGTTTGTGTGAACAGGTACTGGGTTTTATGAAAGCACTGACCTCTGTGGTCTGAAGGGCATGCTGTGAGGCCATCTGGACCACCTTCTAGGGCACCTTCCCCTTCAGATCCCTCGCTGCAACCTGGGAAGTCGTAGGTAGAGGTAGTCAGCATTGGAGGGTGTGTATGAACCTGGGACTCTTAGCCAAGGACCAGGGGTCTTGATGAGAAAGAGTCCTCAGTCAGAATCAATGGGAAGCAGTAGAAATAAGACTGTGCGTGGATGATTCCCTCCTTGAGGGAAACCAGGAAGGTTCTTCAAACCTCTCGGTTTGTGAATGGGGAGAAATATAAACAGGTGTGTGACTTCACTAGCGAACCTGCAGGATGCAGAATAACCTGGGATAAGGTTCAGGGGGTTAAGTCATTGTCCAAGATTAATATAGAAAAGGGGTTGAGTCCGTGACTTTGCTGGGAACCTTGAGTAAAGAAAATACTTAGCTTTTCTCATCATAAAATGGAAGTAGGGTGATCCCTCATATGTTGTAAGGAGTAAATACAATGATTCATAGAAAATGCTCAGTCACTGGGAGTCTTCAGCATGTGGTGGACTTGGTACCAATCAGCCACGGCGAGGAGAGCCGGCCGGGCCGTGCAGGTCCCGGGCAGCCTGGAGCCGCCAGCTTGGGCATGGGACGAATGGGAAGGAAGGCTCAGAAGTCTCTGAAAGTGTAAGCAGCATCATTTGGGGTATCCTGAAATATGTAGGAGAGGGATCCTGATTCCTAGGAATTATGACAAGGTTTGGGGAGGGGGCTGACCGGGCTGCTACCTACTGAGTCAGCTGTGCCTCACCAGGGGTCACTGGGGAACATGTGTGCACAGGCATGGTGCCCCATAAGTCCTCTAGAGTATCCTGCAGCCATGGGGACTGCCCTGGGTGGGGGCTGAGGGTAGGGTGGGGAGGTGGGAGGCGAGCCGAGCTTTCAGGCCTCTACAGCGAGGCTCCTGGCTGCTTCCTGGCCCTTGCTCCTCCCAGCTCACCTGTTTGTCCATCCATTCTTCTCTTCCTGACAGGTAGCTTCCAGGTCTGCAGATAAGACTAGAAGATGAAGGACGATTGTCCGCCCAGTTCTCATGTGCCCATCAGTGATAGCAAGTCCATTCTGAGGTAAGCTGTTTGTGCAGAAACCTGCCCTCTCCGGTGGCCACACCCCTGCAGTCAGTGGCACAGGAGGATTCTGGAATCTTTATAGATCTAACTATTAGATCTATTAGAACATTATTCCTGGCCAGGGATAATGATGATGGTGCCTTTTTTATGACATCCCTCCCTTCAGGGATCAAGAATCTTTTTGGGGTGCAGGTTTGAGCACCACCTTCTTGGAATTTGTAACAAGACTGTCACTCTGCCGAAATGACATTTAATATTCAAAAGCTAGAGTACTATACTCTTACAGAGTTAATTCAAGACAATCCTTAAAACTGATTTAAGCTTTTATTGACATAAAGTGTATTTCATGGCATTGATTCTTAACTCAGCTTATTTTTATTTTGTTTATTCTGTCTCATCACAAAGCATTATTTAATATGGTTTTCTAAATTCATGTCAAAGTCTTTACCTTATCTGATTTTTTTTTTGAGTCTGGAACCCAAATATTTTTTATCTATGGGCAATTCCTGTCCAGAAACTCCTGTCCACTGCATTAAAGACAAACAGCCTCCTTGAAATAGAGCCCCTTTGCTGAAAACCAGTTGGGGTCCTCCTACAGAGACCCTGAGGAAACAGGGGCTTCATTCTGTCGTTTCACAGTGCTACCCACACCGTGCTCATTATTTAAATTATATAAGAAATGTGTAACTATATTGAATTCAGTTTGGAGAAAATTCATAACTATATTGTGATTAATTTCATGTATATTTGATCTACTAATTTTATAGTGTCCGGGTTTTTTTTTTTTTTTTTTTTTTTGCATACTAACATGCAGTGAATGTGCAATACAGAATCTTGCTTTGTTAATGCCAGGAAGTTGTAAATCGCTTCCCCTTCCTTGACCATCACACTTGGGGAACCCAGGAGAGGAACCTTAGGAAAGATTTTGTTCATCCACACCTTGGGGCTGAGCTAATGTGGATGAAGGTGCTGCTGAAGAGTGTCCACTGTCCAGCAGGGGGCGCCAGCCACCTGTGGCTGCCAGCATGTAGGTGGCAAACAAATTATGTAAAATAAAATACCTAACAAGATCGCATTAATAATTTTTATACTGATTACATGTTGACCTGTTAATAATTTAGATGTGCCGGGTTCAATACAATGTGTTGTTAAACTAATTGCACTTACTTGTCTTCCGTTGTAATGTGACTACTTGGCGACTTACAGTTACATGCGCGGCTTGGGTTGCCCATCTCATTGGCCTGTGTGGCCCAGGCTGGCTGCAGGGAGCTGTCCACATTTTCGGCCACATGCCCACGCAGGCCCACGCTGTGACTTTCCCATTACGTAAGGAAGAAAGCCTTTGGGCAGCGTGGCGCAGCAGGGCCCTAGGGAATTCCCAGGGCTGTCCCCTCTCCCTTAGTTCAGAAAGGATGGGGAAGAGGCAGGTGCCCCTTCCGGTGTCCCGATAGCAGCCACCCCAGGCCCTGCTGGAAAGTAATATGAGGAATAAGGCAAGAATCTTTAAAATGTCAGTTATGCAGGCCCAGGGGGTTTATTGTGAGGAAGTGATTCAGGGTACAGTACAGGGAGACTGCCGGGAACTCTTATCTGTAATAGTGAAAGTGCGCAAACACCCTAGCTGTCCTGATGTGGCTCTTCTGTGAGTTTCATTTCCTTCTCAGCCCCACTCCATGCCTTCCAGGAGGCTGCAAACAAAAGCCTCATAAGGCCAAAGGGTACATGTGTGATGGCAGAGGCCAGCCTTGCAACTGATAGTGCACACTGGTAGGATGTGAGCTGTTCTGACCATTTGACCAGTGAGAAAACGAAAGTCAGTGATGTCAAGGGCCTTGTTCATGACCCTTGAGTGTGAGTGTGTCTTTGTCACTTTAGATCAGAGCTCTCAAGCCTGCTGAAAACATACAACTGCTACCATGAAGGCAGAAGCTTCCAGTTGAGACACCGAGAGGTAAGGTCCTTTTCTCTCTTAACTCATAGAGTCACCTTTTATCCTCATCTGCAAAAGATACTGACTTATACCTGTTACTGCAGGGCCCTTGTTAACGAAGATCACCCCCTTCACGCTCACAAGTGTCCCCAGGTAGATAACAGATTATATGGGCATCCTGGTCACGCACTCCCTGAGCAGGAGAGCAGGGTACTCTCTTTCGAGGTCCCTTTAAGAGGTGCCGAGGGTTGGACCATCCCTGGGAAAGTTCAGAGCAGGTGGAAATCCATTTTCAGGCTTTTCCCTTGCACCTGGGGTTTTATCTAGGTGAATTGCTGGGACATTGGCGTTTGAAATCTTGAGGCTGCACAGCCCAGGCTTCCCGCCCCATAGCACAGGGCGCCAACTTACCAGTATTCACAGGCAATCAAAGAAAGAGAGCAGGGTCTCTGTGCATGTAGATCAGAGTGTGCATCAGAGGAAAGGCTGGCAATAGGGGAGTACTCCCGGAAGGATGCTCAGGGCCAGGCAGATGCAAACACAGAAAGAAGGCTGGCAGAGTCCCTGTCCTGTTCTTAAACTTGGGGATGGGCACCCTAAGCACAGTCCACTACAGAGACCTCATTTAGGTGGATACCACTCTGCTTACTCATTCTCTCTTACTTATTCAAATGCCACACATTCCTTTTGGAGCCTCCAGAGTAGAGGGTGAGCAGCTGGCGGTTGCCTGCTAGGGTCTACCTGCCGGGTAGCCTCAGTTGGCCTGAGGTTCCTGGTGAGCCAGGTCAGGCCCAGCTTCACACATTTCAGCAGGGAAGCTGCTTACCCCTGATGAAGTGGTGCTAGGCTATTGGTTAATCCCTCAAGAGGACCAAACTTCACCTTCCACCTCCCCATGACCTGCCCATCCCACACAGGACCTTGGGCCAGCCCTGACAACTCGATACCGTCTCTGCACTGCACCTGCTCCTTTTACCAGCCTGGCCTCATCTGGCCCCTTATGCAGCTGCCAGGTCTCTGGTCCCAGCCCTGCCGTCTCCAGTCCTGCTCTTTTCTTCCTTGAGTGCCTGGTTCCAAATGCCCCACGCAGGCAGAGCATGGCACCTGCACATAGGTGTTGGATGGGTCGCCAATAGGCCTAGGCCTGGGTCATGCTAGATGAGTCCTGAGCTGCAGTGTGCAGCGCCGTTTCGATCCTTGAGCAGTGAGGAGACAGCTCTTGTGCATGGGGATTCAGAGAGGTCTTCTGGTTGGGCTGCTCTCTTTAGCTCTGGGTCATGCAGAGATTGGTCTGTTAGAGGTTCCCCAGCAGCATCAGCATCACCTGGGAACTGGTTAGAAGTACAAATTCTTATCTTCCTCCTCCCCCAGACGTGCTGAATTAGAAGCCCTCATCCCTCCATCCATGTTTTCACAAGTCCCTCAAGGGGCTCTGATGGCCAAGTTTGAGAACCACTCACCTAAAAGCTCCATCTTGGCACTTGGAATTCCCCAACCCCTCCCCCTCCTCTGCAGGAAAAGCCATCTGGAGAAGGTCCCACCCAGAGAGCCCCACCCTGAACTCTCTGTGTGCACATGGAGAAGCGGGGGCCCCACAATGGGCAAGAGCTGTTCTCAACAGCTTCCAGAAGTAGAAAGTTAATATCCCATAGGGGAGAGTTGCATGTTCCCTACCCTAAAATTGTGAGGATTTGACTTAATCTTCTTAGAGCCAGAAAGTACCTTTCAGGTGATTCATGCAGATTGAACAGACAAACTACCAGGGCAGGCTGCAGGCCTGGGAGCCATGGCCATTGCTGTCAAGCAGCATGTCTGGTCCTGGGTATGACATCCTTTGGTGACCCACACACACCCGGCTTCCAGTCTCTGCAGTTTCGTGGTTGCAGACATGGGAATTCCTGGGCTCAGAAGCTGTCAGTTCCAAGCACTTGCTGGAGGCACCTCCCAGCTTGGGCACATGAGGGTGGACGGTTGGACAACTGACCATTCCTAGGTATCACCAATGTGCCAGGCTTTTGCTTCTATCTCTTTATTATAATAAAAGAGCTTGGTGCCATCAAAGCCACCATTCCTCAGATAATGAAAGCAAGGCTCTCAGTTTGTTCTTATCCAACCTCACACTGCTAGAAGTAATAGACACTGGGGTGGGTCAAGGCCTGGGCACGTGAGCTTATGATGCTGCAGCACCACAGTCAGCTTAAGCTGTCAAGGTCTTTGAAGGGCTCCCTTGAATATCACTTTGCAGACCTCAGGGATACAGGGAATTGTTTATCACCCTGGACCTTCAGACCGCAGAGGGGCTCAGCACCAGTGTCCCCTCACAGACAGGGCTGTCATCTTGAAAGAGACACCACTTACGCTCTGTTATAACTGGCCCTCCCCAGGAGCAACTGTGTCCTGACTGCTAGAGTTTGGGGAACGTTCACACTCCATTGTCCCATCTGGGGCTGGTAGAACTTGGAGAGATGGAGTGTGTCAATACAGGGCACGTTTCCCCCTGAAACGTGCCCCAGCTTTCAAAGGGCTGGGAGGAGGGCTCTCCCACCCAGGAAGCCAGGGCACCATCTCCCTTCATTGTAACCCTTGCCTCTGGGATAATATTGCTTGTATTGCAATGAAACGTGTAACCTACTAGGAGCAATCTGTGTCTTTCGAAGCTAGCAAAGCCCTTACCCAGTCTGGTTGACTTCTCAAGAGAAAAAAATGGGCCACCTGGAAATGGCAGAGGACAGGTATTAACACGGTGGGAGAACGGCGGCGAGAGGTAGAGGTAGTAGGAGCCTCAGCACCCACGTGCCTGTGTGGCGGCCCTGACCGCCTGCCTCCCACCCCGCCTGTGCTCAGCTCCCAGCGTGCCGGCAGCGCCCCCTGGTGGTCCCGAGAGCACACGACACTCACTCACCGTCCCATCCCCAGGTCCACAGCGCAGGACAGGGGATAGGAAAGGAACTTCTGGAGCCCAGGGTCTCTGTCGGCCTTCGAGGACAGGGGAGAGCCAGGATCCCCTTCCTTCTTGAAGGGACCTCCCTTCTTCTAAGGCCCAAAGGCAGGAATGAATGTTGACTAACAGGCCACTGGCTCTGAGGTGCATACTGGTGCCCAAATGTGTTTCCCTGGGAGCCCCAGAGGGCTTCCGGCCCACTGCTGTGGGTTGGACATTGCTCTTTCCCTACTCCAGCGGTGAGTGGGAGCAGAATGAGACCCCCTCTATAGGGGCCCCCTGCCAGGAGGACCCTCTGCTAGGCTGTTCAGTCCTGTAGGCATTTGGGAGCCTGTCAGAAGCCCAGCCTCCAGCCCTTTATTATGTTTATTTCTTAGAGCCTTCTGAGGATGCCATTTATTTCCTTCACATTGGGCAATTATGAACAGAGAAGACCAGAGCCTGATACCTTCTGGCTCCCCAATTGCAATATGTTTTCTGAGCTTAGGGGGAATTGGCCACACCCTCCTAGTTGTCTCCCTCTGACCAGCGTTTCTGATAAGGGGTAGTAGTGAGGCTGGGCCTAGTAAACCAGCCAGTCCAGGCCCCTCCTGCCAGCCAGCTCCCGCCCACCACCTCCTAGGACAGGATGTTCAGTTTGAGGCCGCCCCTCCTGTATTGCATTTGCCAAGGTCAAACACAGCAGGCCGTACCCCATGCAGACATCTGTATACTGTGCTCTTATAGCTGTACCTCAAGTTCATTTGTCCGGGTTTCCCAACCCCTCTATGGTGTGAAGAACAGGTTGTGGCACCCACTTTACAGATAGGGAAATGAATGCATTGCTTGTCTGAATTTTTTTTTTTAATATATGGTTTACATTCTGCCTCCCAAAAAACACACATAAGAGAAGACAGATAAACATTTTAAAAGTCCAAAGCAATTTAAAAACAACCAATGAAGGTGGGGGGGTGGGGAATGAAGGAAAAGGAAAGAGCACAGAGCAGGGAAATCAAAGAAACTGCAGCAGGCGAGGGAGCTTTGCCTCTCTCTGCTCCATCCTGACCGGGAGCAGCCAGCTCCAGTCTGGCCCAAAGAAGTGGGGTGACCGTCCTCAGGCCTGACTGTGCTGAGTCCGCAGAGGCCACACTGTCTCTCAGAGGAAGGCCACGGCCATCCTACCCTCTCTCCTGCTCCTCGCCGGTACCGCTTTGCTTGCCAGATGCCTTCAGGACCTGGGGTTTGCCAAGCTGTGAGGAACCTTAGGAAGCATTTAATGCACAGAGATTTGCCTGGGAGTGTGTGGTCAGACAGTGGCCTGCTCTTTGCTCCACAGCTGAGAGGTCCTGGGTAGGAGGCAAGTGGGGACCGGCCAGTTGGGGACAGGACCGTCTGGTTCAGACGTCTGTCTCCCTCCACACTGAGCCAGAATAGCTGGGCGTAGCCCTCTGCATGGGGAAATCTCTCCTGATGGTGCAGGATTTGCAAACTGATGCTCAGTGACAGGTGCCCAAAACACAGCAGGTGCATGCGCCAAGCCCCCTTCCCACATGTACAACCCTGTCCCCCCACCCCCGTTTTCTCTTGTGCCTCCTGAATCTGGGCTCTGAGGGGAAAGCCAAGGGACTAAACTAGCATGGAGGGCGAGCCTCATTCTGAACCGACTGGAAGGCTGAGACCTTCTTCATTTCTTTCCACCCCACTCCCCGCCAACTTGTTTCCACACCTGTGAAGCAACCACATCCATAATAACTGTTTGTGTTTGTGATTTTTGCCCTGTGATCTGTGTGATTTTTATCCCGTATACTCATCAGCGCAGCCTAGAAGGCAGGTCCCAGTCATTACCCCCATTTTACCCAAGGCAAACCAAGGCACAGAGAAAATAAATAATGCCCCAAGTGACTAGCCAGAAAGAAGTGCAGACTGGATGAGTAACAGCTCCTCATGTGATAGGCTTTACTGCTCCTCAGAGCAGGGTCTCACTCGGAATGGCCAACACCCTGCAGAAAAGTGTTTCCCTCGCCTGGGGCGGTGCCCACTAGGGGGAGGAGGGTGGGGAGTTGACACAGACCAGCATGCACATTCCAGAAGTCTTTATTGGGGAGGGGTCAGAGTTCATGGATCACTGGGAGGTGCAAATAGAGAGTTCTGAGGACACTGTTGGGGTGCGAGCTGGTGGGGGAGGCTGCAGCCCTGACTGGCTGTCTTGAAACCCGGGAGCCCTGGTGCCAGCCCCTAGACAGTCTCGCCAGAGAGTGCCCTGGCACCCTGGCATCACGGAGCCTGCCTTTGGGAGCCTCCTGGGCCTTGCTGCTGTCCGTCTGCCTGCATGAACCCTGGGGGTCAGCAGATGGGCCAGCCCTCCTCGACAGGTCCTTGCTACTTGGCAGTTTTTCCGGAGATTCTCCAAAGAGCCAGCCCAAGTGGTCAGCAGTGCCAGCTCCGGGCAGTGTGGGCTGCTGGCCACTGAAGCAGGTACTGATGTCCTGCAGAGACCCTGGGACGCTGCTCTTCTGACAGGCCCTGGCTGGCCGGTGTGGTCTGTGGGGTCGGATGCTGGTAGACGCCTCCTCCAGCACTGAAGTGGGCTGCGCCAGCTGACAGATGGACCTCACGTAGTCATCCAGGCTGGGGGAACCTGGGGGTTCCCGCCCATGCCCTCCAGGCAGCATCTCCTCTGAGGTCTCCCGAATGGTGGGGAGATGGACCACAGAAAGCAGCAGCCGGGACCTCATCGCTGCCAGGCACAGGGATACAGCAGCCTGTTGGTTGACAGAGGACAGGGGTGAGGACGTGTCACACCTTCCTGACAGCCCCCTAGGCCCCTTCCCTCATCTGAGGCTGCCCATGTGAGTCAAGAGCCTGAAAGTGGTTTGAAGTCTCTAAATCCAAGACCAGATGCAGACCCCGGGCTTAGGCGCTGGGCGCTTCCCCCAGCTAATAGCCAAAGCCCACGTGTTTAAGACTGTCGTGCCTGGTTAGGAACCTAGGCAAACCGGAAAGCCCAGCCTAACGGACACAGGCAGAGGAAGCCCAGATTTAAACCCAGGCTCTGAGGTCTTTACCGCTCCAAACCCACACTGCTCATCAACACACCGGGTTATAAATACAGGACTGTTGTGAGAAATACATGTACTAACACCTCCCCCGAGTCCCTTGATGAATACAAAGCGCTTTATAGTCATTATTGCCTCCGTGAAACTACACACCCCGGCTCTGCCCACAATGCAAGTCGGAGGCTGAGAACTGCCTCAAGGGGAAGCAAAACCTTTGCTCCTACCTCCAACCACAGTATTACTGCTCTCTTACCTGTATGTAGGGGGCTTCAGGGGTGCTGGGTGACCAAGGACAGTCGTGAGAAGCCCCCAGGAAGCTCTGGGCGGAGGGGCGGGGCCCAGCAGGCAGAGTTGTATGCCCAGCACCGGAGGAGAACTGTGAGCAGATGCCACAGCCAGAGCAGGATGCTCCCTGGGCGGACTAGAGCAACTCGAGGTCTGGCCGCTGCTTTTATACCTTTCCATCAGCTATCAATTACTGTCACGAGGGCCAAAAATAGCAGCATTCAGGAAGGCTCTCCGAGGAAAACAGCTTGGCAGGCGGGGCCTGGCCCAGCTGCCAGCCTGGAGTGTTTCTCCTGTGGGAGGCCCTGGGAATGTTTACACTGCTGGTGGGGGAGGGAGGCTGCTCCTGGCCACTTCAGGCCACAGGGTTCCCACAGGCAGCCCCAGGGCCTGCCATCCCCTTCTAGAAGTGCTCCTGCTGCTGATTACACCAGTCCCCTACAACTTCAGTCCCAGCAGCCTGGTGCTAGTTGGGCAAAGCCCCAGGCCTGCACATGTAAGGCTCTTGGCCAGACATGGTGATGCAGGGCTCTGCCTGGAGGGGGCCCACGTGGGGTTCTCTGGGCCTACTCAGGTGAGAAGTGTCTGTCTCAGGCAGAGGCAAAGAGGGACACGTCCCATCCCGATCTCTCCCTCACTTGCAAGCGAGCGCTTGTGAGTTCGCTTGCTCCTCGGGCATCTCATTGATGCCCTTGAGCATGAGTAACAGCTAGGCACAGATTGCAGAACAGGAAACAGGCCCTGTCCGTGGATCTCACCTCCCAGCATGGCAGCCAACCCAGGACTCGGGGAGAGGTGCTGCAATTCTGGGAGTGGCGACGACTGCAGAGACGCCTGCAACAGCCATGGGGCAGAGGTCAGGCTCGTCTTCTCTGAGAGGACACAGGGCAGGGGTCTGGGCAAATGGAAGCCACGTTCCCAGTGAGGGGCAGTGGGTGCAAAGTGCCATGAAGGGAGTGTGCTGGGCCTGCTCGGGCACCAGCAAGGAGCTGCGTGACTGGCCCACTGGGGAGGAGGCCTGCGGACTTTGGTGGGATACTGGATTTTCCTCTGAGCGGACAGAAGGATAGTGCAGGGCTCAAACGCGGGGGCAACCGTGTGACTTCTTTTCCGAAGGAATGACAGCTACTGTGCCTGAACTAAAGGAGGCAGTTACTGGGGAGCGTTGAGAGGTAACTGAGGGCAAGGCGGTGGTGTGGGAAAGCTCTCGGGAAGAGCCGGCACCACTACTTCTTCCACAGGCCCTGAATTGTCCTCCTAGCAAGGAACATGCCTGTCTCTTGCCTGCAGTGGGGTCCAGAAAGCAGGCCCTGAGATAGCAGCCCAGGGCTAAGGCCCAATTGCTGGACAGAATTCAGACTCCCTAGCAAGCAGGAGGACTGGTGATCCCCTGTTTCCTGTATCTGAAATGGGGTGTTCCTCATGAGCAAAGGCCAAGAGCCAGGAAGGGCATCTGAGCCAGGTAGCCAGGACCTCAGCTAGAGGTGGCGACTCCTGTCGACAGCTCCTCTACCTGGATACTTCTGTAGAAACTTTTTCTATTTCTGTAACTGTCTTTGAATTCATTAGCAATTAGCAAATTAGCCACTAGGCTAATCTGAAGAGGAAAGTGTTGACTGAGACAGAGAATTAGAAGGCCCAGTATGGCTCACCTGTGACGCACATCCTGCCTGCGCCCTCATGCACTGCCTTCTGAGGGTTCCCCAAAGCCGAGATCCCGCTGCCCTGACCATGGGCTGACAGGGCCTTTCCCTCACCCCCATGGGACCGGTGGAGGCAGGTGTCAGGCTGTGGACACACGTGCTGGGTGTTCAGGGACAGCAGACCTGAGTCATATCAGGCCAGCTGGTCCCAGCACCGCTGTCCATGACCTCAGAGCCAGAGGTTCCCCCTCAGCACCTCAGTGCCACCCAGAGCACACCCCCCAGTCCCGCCTCCTTCACTGCCCCAAAGCCTTCCTGAAGTCCTCAGGGCCCAGCCTCAGCATTCAGCCCACTGCCCTCCCTCACAGTAGCTGTCCTCCCCGCTCACTCCCAACACCAGCATCCAGTGTGGGGCTAGGGGGCGGGGTCCCCATGTCTGAACAGCCCGAGGTGTCTCCCAGAGACATGTGCCACCTCGCAGAGGCGTCTGAGGCCAGGACTGAAAACCAAGAATGACCCCAATTTAGGTTTGTCACTTCTCCTCCCAGGACCGTTAGCACCCTCACTGTTCCTGAACAGGAGCGTTCGTTACATACCTGTGCCTGCATTACATCAGGGGTGATCAAAAATAGCTCTGGGTTTTTGTTGTTTTCTTTACAAGCAAATAGTGCAAGGTCATCCCAGAAAGTTGTGTGTGCTTTTGATAACCTTGAACAGAATAGAAAATGTTTTCTTTGTGGATAGCAGGGTGTTTTAAACTGTCACTCACTAACCATGAAATCAATATTCCGACTGTATCAATTTCCACACTTCTGAAAGTGCTGCCAGGGAGATGAAGTTGTCTGCAAGGTCCCTGTTATTTCAGGGGTTCCAGGACCAGAGGGGAGAAGGGATCAAAATTTGTAGTGGTGCTCAGGATAGCGATAGGAAGACGGGGCTTAAACAACTTGCAGAAGACCTGGATCCAGGCAGTTTAACAGATGATAGCTGGGAGGTGTGCGGCAGAGAAGGTTGTGGTAGGTGCTTTTGGGGTATAAAGCAACCTGTGTTGGGGTACATGTGTTGGGATATTGGGTGGGACACAGAGAGCCTGGAGGTAGTCACACATGGACAGGACCTGACATAGGCCAGAGAAACACAGTCGAGGACCTGAAGAGGGTTTGTGGGAGCTGACCGAGGATGCCTCTGGAAGACATGGTTGATTAGGAGCTCAGGTTTGGAGATAAGGGAGCAGCCAAGACACCCCCCAGCCTCGGGAAGTCAGGGCTAGCTGGGGACACGGGATGAGAGTTGTTGATATTTGGAGTGAGCACGCCAGTGATGGAGAGTGTTGGCAGTGTCCCCAGTGTTGAGGAATGCAAGGTTGGCCCTTCTGAAAAAGACAGCCAGGAAATCTGGAAGTAGGTTCAGCCTCCTAACGGGAACAGTGTGGGGAGAGGGTGAGGCTGCCCCAGTGAGTGTGCTTGGCTGGGCATTGAATCCAACACCCTGAGCACATTCCCAGTAGAACCTGGTCACCATGGTTCTCGCTGCCCAGCAGGGTGCTGAGCCGAGAAGGGCGCTGTATCACTCTGCGTTGCTCGGCTGAGCTTTCCTAGAGTATGTTTCCCCGCCACTGTGTGGACGTGCCTGCCAGACAACAGCTGGGTTCCTGTGGGGAACTGACTCAGCGGCCCTGTCCCCAGCAGGCCCTGGCCAGGCGAGCACCGAGTGGTGGGAGGACATGCCTCAGGCTTCCTCTGGAGGGACCTCTGGCCTGCTGCCCTGGAGCACGTGCAGGCTGTGGGGCTCCCTCAGGGGGAGGCAGGACCCCAAAGAGAAGGGGTGTTTCTCAGGGTCCGCGTATCTGGGGAGTCCCAGGAGACCTGAGGGATTGTTGGGGAAGTGAGCAGTGGCCCCTGAGGGTAGCTGCATTGGGGTAAAAGACTGTGTGGGTCCCCACAGGAAGAAGGGGCTCTGATCATCGAGGGGCTCCTCAACATCTCCTGGGGCCTGAGGCGGCCAATCCGTCTCCAGATACAGGACGACAAGGAGCGAGCACATGCCCCAGCTTCCTGGACACCTGGACAGCCCAGCTGCCACCTGTGAGTGCCGGGTGACCTGTGTCTCTCAACCCCGCCCCATCCTCAGGGCGCATTTCCCAGCTCCCAGGCAGTCATGAGCATTAGCATATCACTGCCTCTCACCGTCACCACCCCGGCCCAAGACCTCACCTGACCAGGTGTCCCAGCTGCCTGACCCTAGGGTGACTTTCTAGACTATGAGCAAGCACCTTCCTTCTGGAGACTGTTCTGGGCCTCCCTCACCTCCAGTTGTGTTTCTCAAATATTCACAGTCACTTTGTCTGCAGGAGAGAGACCAGTCCCCAAACCCTTAAGCCAAATATTTCTCAGCCTCTCCTGTTCTAGCCTAAAAATGTGTGAAATTTGAGCTTCTGACTGCTCTGCTAATATCAGAATTTATTTCCACAAAATTTTCAGAAATTATTTTAATGTCATAATAGTAATATTACATTTCATTATATGTCATTATATTCTATTTTATTATCAGAATGATGTTTTAGTATAAATGTAGTCATTTTCTGCCTGTCTTGCTATTTAAATGCTGCTGACTTTCTGATGACCTTCCAACCCCCGTAAAGGGGCAGTTAGCTGCTAAGTTTTACAGGCTTCTGCAGATAATAAATCTCTCTAAGAGGCAGAAATTCAAAGATTCCTCCTTTTTAAAAATTCACATAACATTGCTGCTCTAAAGACATTCAGCACCTGGTATGTCCCCAGGTATCCCTGGTCACACCTGTGACTTTTGATCATCATAGACTGAGAGCAGAACGTTCTGATGGGCCCATTACAGAGGCTTCAAAGGTGACTCACGTTCCCGAACCTGGGTGACTGTGGTCACAGGAGCAGTGACAGAGGACGGACTCCTCCTAGGCCTTTTAGCAGGGGCTTGGATTCTCAGCTACTGGGACTGATTCCCAGAACATCCCTCCCTTCTCCAGCTCCGTGCCCACTCTCCTGGCTCAGAGTCCTCTTTGCCTGGAGACCAAGAGATCAGCCCCCTCAAGATTGCCCCCACCTGCTTCAGCCCAGTGCTGGGAGCACACAAGCCCTGCCTAGAGCGCCCCTGTACCTGGGCTTCACACAGCGCTCTGCAGCACACCCACCTCCTTCCAGCAGACACTGCCCACCCCTCCTCTTCGTTTAATATTTACACTGTCCCCACGATGTAATACCCCAACCTCAGCCCAGCCCCGCTTCTTGTCTGTATCCCATCCACAGAGACAACAGTCTCGTCTCTTGTCCTTGAGTGACTTCTCTCAGCCGCAGCCTCTGAGCACACGATTGTCTTGTTTTAGGAAAGAGCCACCTCTTCCAGATGGCAAAGCCACCGCACAGGAGCCAGGCGCTCAGCCAGGGCACAGGACCGAGGACACCAGAGACAGCGCGGGTGAGGGGAGCTGCCTGGGACCCTGTCTTGGTTGTCCAGGAGAGGAGAGGAGAGGAAGACCTGTGTCTTTGTCCTTTGCATGAAGAACAGCCCAGTATGGCTCCATTTGTCTCTCTGAGAATCAACCCTTGCTAAATACTCCTCAATATGAGGCTCTTTACTGGAGAGGTCATGGCGTCTATCGCAAAGAGGGAACACCAGTGAAGGCTATGATGCTCACCGGCCTTGCCGGCTGCTAGGACTTCCTCAGGCTCTGGGGCCAATAACTGCTTGTCTTCCTGTGTCCTCTCCTCTCACTCAGTGAAGGACTGTCTGGGAATGGGTGTGCAGAGGACAAACCTGGGGGCTGCCAGAGACCTGTGCTGGGTATCCCGCTGGAGACCCAAAGGCTATGGTCATGGGACATGGTGACACAGGTGACCTGTCTAGGGGCCACCTTTTCTGTCTGTACCCCACAGAGTCCCTCCCTAGAACGGTATTGACATCACAACTGCGGTAGCGTGGTCCAAGCAGGAGACTCCTGAGAGCCCAGCCCCAGGCACGCGCAGCCACAGGAGCACCGAGGCCCACCCAGGCCTGACTGCTTGTCCATGTCTTACCTCAGAGCCCCTGGAGGAGGAGGAGGAGGAGGCCCCGCAGCTGATGCGGACCAAAAGTGATGCGGGCTGTGTGATCCAGAGGCGGCCCAAGTGCAGAGCCCCTGGCGAGGCCCAGAGGATCCGACGGCACCGGTTCTCCATCAATGGGCACTTTTACAACCACAAGGTGATGTCTCCCTGGCCTCTGCCCTGCACCCTAAGCTGAGTGCTCAGAGAAGCAGCCTGAAACATGGGCACAACTATCCTCCATGGTTGCTTTAGGGTCCTGAGGGAGAAATGGGCCCAGGAAGAGAATGGGAACATTCCAGTTCATGACCCAAAACCTAAATTTTTTCCACCACAATCTCACTATCAACCCACTTGAACAAGTTCATGGATTTTGACAAATAATGCCAAGTCTGTCTTTATTTAGACGACTTTCTGCGCAGCTTCCACCTGAGCCCAAGTGGTTGCTTTATGGGAACAACATGTACCTTGCTGCCACGCTTGCTAGGTGACTAAGCCCTTCAGCTGAGGTGTGCCCAGGGCACTGTCCCCGGGTCCCAGAGAACCTTCACTGCTCACAATTCCCAGCATTTGGCCTTTTGTCCAAGAATGCATTGTACTGACCTCCGGAAAAGATCTCCTTCCCCAGATGACATCATTCCATAAACAAACCCAACTGTAAAAGGAGATCTTGATTGTTACTATAAATGGCCTGAGTGGTAACTGGGGTGAGGCCCTGGATGGAGTGTCCTGTAACAGGCCATGTCCTGCTGCACTGGGAGCTGAAGCAGCACCTGCCAATGAAGCAGCTGCCCTTGGTGGGGCATGACTCAGGCAGGGCCAGGGTGCCTGATACCAGGAGGATGCAGGGGCTTTGTGGAAGGATAGAGGCACAGGTTTGGCCTGCTTACAGGTGTTCAAGCCACTCGTGGGGTGTCCTGGTCTTGTGGATGAAGACTTCAGTGTGCCAAACTTGAGGGACTCTATAAGCCGGAGCTCCCGCCCCTTGCCTGTATTACTGAGTGGTGGTAGTTATCTGCTAAGTCCAAGGAAATCCAGGCCTATTTGAGAGTAGAGTTTTCTGAGACAGTGAAGGAGGGGCCAGGGATGACATTAAGCAGAGATGAATGGTTTATATTCACCAACGGACCTCTGACCGACAGGGGTATCCTTTAAATCCTCCAAAGGGATTGGTCTGTGGAGTGTTACATAAATACCAGTTGCTAGTGTTAGGGATTAATCAGAAAAATTTTAAAGAATACTTGCATGGGTTTAGGCTCTTTGTAGCTCTATGTTCTAAACAAACAAACAAAAAAAAAGTTTTTTGCTTCATGAGTAAAGGTTCTGAGTAGTGAGGTTAGTCATTGGGACTTTCACTCCTCTATTGGAGTCATTCATCTCTAAACCTTATTTTAGTCCCTGCAAGTATCACAGGGACATAGAGATGCCTGAGCACTCTGTTGGCTCTGATATGAGTAGAAATGACCATCAAGAGCTATGCCAGCATCTCAGTGTCTGGTGGAGCCTCCTACCAAGCTCCTCACCCAGACAGCCTGCCACTCAGCCACCAGCTTGAACCACAATAGGGACAGATCTTCCTCCTGGGAGTAGAACTACCTGTGTGATATGGATCCATTCCTCCAGTCAAGCTGACTGTCTTCAAGAACACAGGCCAGTGTCTTAAGCTTGTGGACAGTGGATTCCCATCCCCTCAGTGAAAAAGAGGCTTCCTCTAGTCACTTTGCTCTGCATCCATTCAGAATCGGTGCCCTTAGAAATCAAAGTACTTGAGTCACAGGCACAATTTTGAAACAGAAGTCCCTAGACTTGACTGACTTCATGGGGTATTATTCAGGGTTTTGGTTCTTAGAATAGTGCCCTATTACTTTATTCAGTCATTCTCCAGAAGTACTCTGCTTCACAGTAATGGTTTGGTTTCCAGAGTGGGTAAACTTGGTAGCTGCTTCCATTGCTTTGCCCTGTTCCTGGTCACATGTGTTCTGACCACTGTGGACAGCCCCTGGTAAGCAGCCACAAACCTTTGCTCCTACTTGGAACTGGTTGGTATCGTCTAGAGGAAAAGCTTCAGACAGGAGAAATATTAACAATGTCTTGTTGACAAGACCTTTATCCTCCTTTAAATAGCACGGAGTCTCTAGTTACCCCACATTTCATGGGGATGGAAAGCCTAGTTCTGCTTTCTGTCTAGCCAGAGTCAGGCTGTCTCAGTCATGATGGAGGCAGGTCCAGATTTGAGTCTGGCTTCAGAACTGAGCAGGTCCCTCACGAACCCCAAGCCCAGATGACATCCTGGGCCAAGCAGAGCTTCAGCCATGACGAGGGACTGTGTACACTTAAATCTGGTTTTGGAAAGTGAAAGGAGCTCAACTCGGGAGTCAGACTTACAGGGCAGCCCCAGTCGTACTGGTATGAAGCTGGGGTTTGGGGCACCTCTATCCTTTCTAGATGGGTGACCTGACAAACTACTTAATAGCTCCAAGCCTCCATTTCTAAGAAAATGACCGGTACTTCAGAGGGCTATTGTGAGGATTGAATCAAAGGTTATGTGTTAAAGCACTTAGCAGACTTGCCACTTGGTTATTGGCCACTGAAGACCTGTTAAGCCTCAGGTAATCCCCTGGTTGACTTCATATATGGTGTCTTTATATGCAAAGACAAGATACCTCTGAGAATATAATAGCTGCCCCCCACCCCCAACTGTGAAGAAGCCACTGGCTGGAGCCAAGGTGCTTGGGGGTGAGGAGTGGGAATATGGTGTCACATGTTCGTAGTAAGGAAAAGAGAGGCGGATGGTATTCCTCAGACCGTGGGAAGTCTTCAGATATTTCTAACTAGAATAGATAAGCAGAACCCCAGAGCCCATGTTCACTGGCAGCTCATTTGCTCAGCACTATCAAGCCAACAGTGTGCCCAACCCTGCGTGATATAAGCCCACTGTCCCTTCCGGCCCTGCACTGACCCCTCTCTCCTTGCAGACCTCCGTGTTTACTCCTGCGTATGGGTCCGTGACCAATGTGAGGGTCAACAGCACCATGACGACCCTGCAGGTGCTTACCCTGCTGCTGAACAAGTTCCGAGTAAGTGTGGCGGCCACTGGTCTTGCGCCTCCTACTGGCGGTTTGCTGTTTTGTTGGTGGAGGGACTGGTGCGGGCTGGGGAAGCTGCCCTTGGCTCCCAAGTAGGTCTGGCAAAATTTTCTTCTGCTGAGCTGGTGTCACTGAGAGGGCCTGGGGGCTTTTGCATGTGGTACTAGGGGGATGGTTACTGCTAGGGTCCCTGTCTACCACTCTTATCCTGAAAAGCCACGGTCTGACTTCTTGTCACTGCCTGTGCAGGTGGAAAATGGTCCCAGTGAGTTTGCACTCTACATCGTTCACGAGTCTGGGGGTAAGTGTGTGCCTTCACTCCAGATCATAAAAACAAACATCTGTTTGGTAAGTTCACTGGCCAAGCGGCTGGAGGGGCTGAGTGTGCCGTCCACCCCCGCTCCTGGCCTGGGGTCACGCTGTACCATCGCCACCAACACCTGGGCACACGCTCATTCCCCTCAAATACCACCTAAAGCACATGGAAGGTGCCACCCTCCGGTAGGCTCAGCCAGTGGGGTGAGGCCTATTGGGGGCAGGTGAGGTATGTCAGGGCCTGAGAGGTAGAGCTGAAGCCCCTCATCATGGCCAGCTGCTCGTGCAGAGCTCACACTCGCTCTGGTGTCCTGGTGACGGAGCAGCCACCCTCCATGTACACTCTCCCTCTGTGAGCACCATTTCCAGCGGGGCCTTTGCTGAGTAGCACAGCCATACATTGCTTAAATTGATACTCTCAGAGAGGTCTGGAGATGGGTTCCCAGCATCCTGGACTTTCATCGTCTGTCATTCTCCTGTTCTGGAGCCAAGAGAGACAATCCTAATGCCCTGTGGATTTGTAAACTGCCTTCTTTTTCAGAGAGGACGAAATTAAAAGACTCTGAGTACCCGCTGATTTCCAGGATCCTGCACGGGCCTTGTGAGAAGATTGCCAGGATTTTCCTCATGGAAGCTGACTTAGGCGAGGAAGTTCCGCATGATGTGAGTGAGGCTAGGGTCAGGGAGACCTGCTTCTGAGGGTGGGCCTGTTACTGTGGGGCCTTTGGGGTGTCCTAAGGGCTCTGAAGTGACCTCGGCCAGAACCTTCCTGCATAATGTTTCCAAAGTCCACATGGCTGCCCTGAAGGACCCCAAGCCAGTGATGCCTTCAGCCTTCCCTCTGTCTGTCAGCAACCACCAGCTAGCTAAGGGGAAAAGAAGCTGGGTCCTTGAAAATCAGGGCCTGTGCTTTTCCTGGAGCCTCTGAGTCTTACAACAGGCTGAATTCTGGCCAGGGATTTCCCTGCACAAAAAAGGCCTACAGGGCTTGGGCCCCAAGGATCAGCCCAGGTGACCCAGTGACCCTGACCTCTCTGGCCATTCACAGGCTGTATTTTGCTCCATTGTTAGAAACAATGGTGTTCCCACCACCCCCACCCCAGACCCTGAGAACACCCGTGTGACTTTTGTTGAATGCTTTTCCTAATATTCAGCTGTCTTTCCTCCCAGGGATCAGAGTTGCCCTTGAGGTTAGAATGGACACACGGAGAATTGGGGGTGGTGTGCAGACAGGCGACCATTTCCATGGAGATGAGACTTGGCTGCATTGGCATTTATGGAAGCCTTGAGGAACAGAAAACACATGTGTGGCTTCTAACTTAAGCACATTAAAATGTTCTTGGATTTTCTAGGTCGCTCAGTACATTAAGTTTGAAATGCCGGTGCTGGACAGTTTTGTTGAAAAATTAAAAGAAGAGGAGGAAAGAGAAATTATCAAACTGACCATGAAGTAAGCAGCACTTAAAGAGCCAGTCGTGGGTCCTGAACAGCAGGGCGAGTCTGCAGAGCAGAGCATCAGGCCGGGCTGGGAGAGCCCTTGTCCAGGGGCACCAGCTGCCCTCACATGGCTGGGGAGGCCTGCCAGCCCTGCTCCTAGCTCCTCCCTCTGCCCCCTGCTCACTGTTAACACCAAGTCAGGGGACCCCCCCCAGCCCAGGAGGGTCACATGCTGCTGAAAGGTGGGGGGAGAGTCAGGCAGGAGCATGGTGGGTGCTGGCCTGGCCTTGTGAGTTCTGGTCATGTTACAGGGTAGCCCAGAGTGGACTGGGCTGCCTGTCTGTGGGGCCTCACCTGCGTGGTCACATTTCAGTTATACTGCAGATACACACAAAAGGGTCAATAACGGGTTTATTTACAAAAGGGGAAAGGAATAGGAAACAATCCAGGGAAAGAGAGCAGGATACAAAGTATCTGGAACACCTTACAGCTAGGCTGACTGAACACACCGGAGCCACATGGTCAGGAGAGGTGCTTCCAGAGTGAGAGAGCAAGAGATGCAGTCGCACCCTATTTACCGCCCTATTTACACCCCAAAATGTCCCAGAATTCCTGCTAGTTCCACCCTTAGGTCCTCGTAGTTCACTCCCTGGTACTGCTGGGAGTTGTAGTTTCCAATCACTGGAGTAGGGGGCGTGGAGTCCAGAAAGCTGGAGTAGGGGGTGGAGTCCACAAGACTCTGCAGAGTTTCTTTAGGACATCCTTCCCCTCTGCTCTGCAGGAGCAGCTGAGCAGAGGGCCTACGAGGTGACCTGCTTTGGGCCTTTTGTGCTAGTGGGAATTCTGAGCTTGCTGAATAACGTTGTTAAATCCCCTTTGCCAGCTGGTATATTCAGGTGCAGGGAGCCAGTTCAAAAGAAAAGTCCTCAGGTGTCACCTACCAGCACCTGGGAATGCTACATCAGGGCCCAACTGAACCAGGTCCCATCTTCCAATGACCTGTTTGCCCTTTGCAGTGAAGCAGAGGACTGAGGGGAACATGCGGCAGGCACTCAGCCAGGCTCTGGGTCAGAGCCCCTCTTAGAAAAGAAAAGAGGGAGGCTACTCGCTGCAAGAGCCTGCTGTCAGGGGTCTGGTCCAGATTCTGACCTTTGGCTGACGGATCCTTGGAAAGGCACAGCCTCCTCCCTCCTCCAAGCTTCCATCTTTGCATTTGGGCCCCCTGTGAGCAATAAGCAGAAACCCCAATCAGAGGCAACAGTTCACTGTGCAGCCAATAGTGTCACTTAGGCTCTGGGAGCTGGAAGAGAGCTGGGGTCACCTGTCAGTGTAGAGACCCACGATGAGGGAGTCACAGCACAGGTTATGGCAGAGCTGGGCTTGACACCTGCTTGCTGTGTGGGCCCCGCCCACTCCAGGATGCACTTGTTCATACTGGAGTCTCTGAAAGAGGAGCAGCTGCATTTTGCTTTGAAATCTGGTTAGATCTGGAGCACTGTATGGCTGTTTCTTGCTGCCAGTGGTTTTCACAGGGCATGGGTCCAGCGTTTCCCTCCCTTGACAGACTGGTAGCCACCAGCCAGCCAGTCATGTGCTGTGGGCCTCCTGGACCAGGCTTCTGTGTGTTCCGTGGCTCTGTCCCCACTCCCTATCTCCTCCAGTGTCAATGAGTCTGCATGGCTGTGTCTCATCTCAGGTTCCAAGCCCTGCGTCTGACGATGCAGCAACGCCTGGAGCAACTAGTGGAGGCCAAGTAGCCAGCCAGCGTAGCTCTCCTCCACAGCCCTCAGAGGGAGTACAACCAAGTGCCGTGGGCAAACCTGACTGATCACACTGATCATCGTGATTGATGGCCACCAGCTGAGCAGTCCAGCACCTGTGCTTCTACCTGTCTACCTGCCTGGGTATTGTTGGTCCCACATACCTGGCTCATGGCTACAAGATGAGTGTTCACTGAGCCCAGACCCACACCTGAGGAGCCAGGATCTTGCTATGTGTATCTGTATGTGTGGTTGACCAGGACAGCAAGCAGCCACAAAGCTGTGGCACCAACTCTCTAATGCAGCTGGACAATGTGGCCAGTCTTGTTCAAGCCACACTTCTGCTCTGGACAGCTCTACCTGATGGAACCCATGGGGCCTGGGCCTCATCTGCTTCCCCATTGGCTCGCCCAGGGCTTCTCCACCAGCCTGTCTTCATTGTCCACGTGAAGTCCCCGTCTGCCCTCAGGAGCACCTTTGAGAAAAGCAGGAGCCGCCTGCCTGCCTGCCAGGAGTGCCTGGCTCCCAGCCATCACTTCACCAAGCATTCTGGCTTCCACGCCTACGATGTCCCCCTGAGAGCCTCACACAGTGGTGCCTGGCTGGCTGAGGCCAGACCAGGATTCAACCACAAGCATCCCACCTCCTCTCTTAACACTCACTCTTAAATTCACTGCAAGAAATACCTTATTTGACCATGCAAAGGAGGTAACCCACATGGCACTGGAAGAATGTCACTCCATGTGGGTGAGAGTCCAGAGTTGCACAAGAGCTGCCAGGCAGGGAGTCAGAAAGGCAGTGGCCTCATCACCACTGTCCTGTGGAGGCCTCTTGCCCTCTCTGGCCTTGTGTCCCGCCCTGCTCAGTACTTCCCACCAAAGGGGCCATGATACAGAGAGATGTCTGTTTGAACAGAATGGGGTTTGAGTCCCCTGGGGCCACATATTGAACAATTTGGGTTTGTCAACTAGTGGGAGAATTCCTGGAATGAATGAGAAGTTATTTGCAAAACTATGCAACAGTTTACATCGGTCATATGAAATGCTTGTCCAAAACAGAACAAACTGAAGACCAAATGTTCTCCCACTGTAGTCTCTAGTAACACATTTTAAAGGAAGAACCATAAGGCTTCCAAAGATAGGAGAGATTCCATCTCTGCTCATGCAATGGCTGGTGAGGAACAGTGTTTGGGAGTGGGCAGACCAGGCCATGTGAAGCCCACAGTTTGGGGGAACTTTGCACCAGTTTTTTGTTTTTTGTTTTTTTTCTGACCTGTCTCCATGGTCACAGAGACATACAGACAGAAGCCACCGGGACGCCTGGATCAGTCTCTGTGTTCCTGTAACTACATAGTTTCTTAGGTCCTCAATAAAGCTGCGCTGTGCTGAATCCCAGGGCCTAGGACTAAGTTTTGTTTTCCTTATGTGTGACTGATCCCTGATCTAAGCTCCAAGAAACTCTTATCCTCTAGTAGGTGTGGCCACATTTGACAGAAAAGCCAAAAGTGAGCCAACTCCTATTGACACAGACACAACTTTCATTACTGTGGGTGTCCTGAGGATCAGTGTGGGGCCTGTGGCCAGGCAACCACAGAGCAGGGAATCCAACTCATTGGTGGGGGTGGCCTGTAACATAAGCAATAAGATCACCCTGAATTGCAGAAGTTCAGCACCAGGAGGACTTCAGGAAACTTCCAGTCTTCTAGATTCAGGTAAGATGGCAGCAGGACATAGAAGAGGGAAGGAAAGGCGTCAAACAGGCACTCCCAGCTCATTTGCCCCTTGGGCTTCTTTCACCCTTGACCCAAGCCAGCTGCTGTCCACTACTAAGCAATCATTGAGTAGATCCCTTGCTGAGCAGTGCATGTTTGTGCCTCTGTCCCGGGGACAAAGTGAACGCCATGGTTGACCGCATGCTCAGGGGTCTCCTCAGTAGAAGCGGCCAGCTCAGCTGGTGAACATGCCTAGGGCGAGGCCCAAGGCTGAGCCTGAGTCAGCTCAGACAATGTGTGTGGCATCCAGCCAAGAGCCAGCTGCCAGCCTAGAAGCAGGACAGGACCCAGCACAGGGTGCCGCCCCATGAGGGCCCCCCTGTAAGTACTCTCCAGTTTGTTTTCTGTTTTGGATTTAGTGTGTTTGTTTTTGGTTTTGTACAGTTGTAATAATATTATTTAAGGCCTGTGTAGGTGAGTATGCCTTTTGAAATAGATTATTATCAAAATTAACTTCTGAATACTATACTAAAAAAAAAAAAAGAACCTCTACTACCAAGTTGCATGGAAAAAGAGAAAAAGTACACTTTTAAAATCATTTGAGGTGTTCACAAGTCTTTTTATTAATATTGATTTGCTTCAGTAGCAAATTATTCCTCTACTGTAACTCTACCACTTCTGACTTTCTTTGCTGGAATCTGTGGTTTCCTACTGTTTACTTGGGAGTTTCTCTTTCTTTCTCCGTAGTCACCGTATGTCTCATATGCTCCTTCACTAACCTGCTTTCCAAGCTGCTGGCTCCCCACACCAGGTCTCAGGAACAAGAGAAAGCAATAAACACAGGGTGAAATCAACATGATTGCAAAAGAAGGACAACTCAGGAAAAACAGAGTGGTTTTCCCGGAACATACTACCAAGAGGAATAAAAAACAGCTTGTTTTTCCTGTGGTGATAGCCATATGCTACTGCTTGGAATGTTTACCAGAAAATGAATTAAAGGCCTTCCCACTGTCAAAATAAAGTCCAGGGTTCACCCAGGACACATCTGGCCCTTTAGTCCCAGGGAAACAAAGCAAGAGGCTTATCCAGTCTGACCAGGTGATTTGGGAAGGAGTTGGCTGTGCACAATGTGGCCAGCATGGGCAGGACACAGGCGCCCACAGCTGCAAAGAGGGAGCAGGACATCCTTGCCAGATGCCCACTGCCCTTCTGTCCCTCAGGCAGGAAGTGCAGTCAGAGCTAAACTGATCCAAGTACAATCACAGCCAAATTGACAGGCTGATTAGCCCCAGGGCTATCCTTGTCTGGAAGAAAGTCGCTGCTGACCTGCCCTGACTTACTGCATGCAAACCTGGAGTGGGATTTCCCAGAGTTTCCTTTTCCTGGAGAACTCAAAGGAAATAGAAAACAAAGTCTTAGACTGGGTGGACAGAAGCATCGTTCAGGGTCTCTTCCATAGGACATGGGCCACTTTTGTGCTCACTACACTTAAGTCACACAGGTGACAGTGCTCCTTACACTGTTGCCTAATGCAGAGCCAACACAGTAATGCTCCTTGCTGAAACAGTGCTCTTCCATGGAGTGTGTGTGTGTGTGTGTGTGTGTGTGTAAAACAAAGCCATAGCAAAAGGAATGATCTTGTCAGAGCTTTTTCGCTTTCCTCAACCCAGAAACCTCTTCCTGGAATGATAGGGGTAGGTTTCCACATCCATTAAGGGATCTGACCTCTCTTGGTCGAGTTTCCCCAGAAAAAAATAGCTGTCAGGGGCAGGTAGTGGCAGTAGTCTACCTGTCCTCACTGTCTACCTCCTATTCCCTCTGCCCCCTTTTACTTTACGCTTTGTCAATATGACGTGATGGTTTCGACAATTTGCCTAGAAATAACCTGGAATTCCATTTGTGAATACTTCTACATAGCGGTTAAAAGTGTATGCTCTGGAGTAAGACTGTCCCTCGCATGACTGCAGGTGACTGTTCCATGTGTTCTGTTATCCTGAGCTCTCAGCTAAAGGAGCAGAGCCACTGGGACATGTGTTCCGAAAGGCAGAAGGAAAGAACGGAGCAGTGGCAGAAACACAGTGACCCGAGGCTTCTTGTGGGTCATGCTATAATTTGTGTCCACTCACATCATACCTCAGGGCTAGTCACTTCAAAGACACCCTCATGGGATGCAATGTCATTTACTGGGAAGCACTGAAAGTCACACAGCAGTAGTCAAGGAGTGTAATATCAGAGCAGGGCAGAGTGAAGCTCAGAAACAGTCAACCCACAGAAACATTGGTGAGATATAAGTGCTTCAAACAGTGTCTGGCCCATAAGCATTCAGTAGTGTTGACTATTATTATACTAATAAATATATTGAGGGCATCAAGCTTCGCCTGTTTTCCCTCCCTCTCCATCCCCTTTGTCCGTTTATTCATCCTCCTTATCCCCACCCCAGCTCCATTTGGGTCTCCTGCCTCTACATCTGACCTCCTACTCTTGTCCATTCTCGGTCACTCATACCCCTTTATTTGCCGACTTGCTTCCCATCTTATTAGCTCAAAATCCTCACAATGGTACACAAAGCCTCCATGATATCTTGCTTTTTCATTATTCTGTCTGCAGTACTAAGAACTCTCAGCATGTAGCACTCAGAAATTGTTTGTTGAATGAATGAATTTGTAAGATTTCTCATTGTATACAATGTGCTTTTACAATTATCTTCTCTGATCATTCATCTTTACTATGGTTTCGTGAATCTGGGATCATACTACAACTCTGTAACACAGAGTTGATGGGGGAGGCCAGAGTAGGTCTGAGGTTAGGTCTAGTGTCCATCACACATGCAAATAGGGCTGAGTAATCAATTGGATAAATAAAGTGTGCAGTTCAACACTTGCAACCAGGGTAAAGACAAATCCAGAGTCTTCAGCCACATGTGATATTTTAGGCCATTTACTTAAGGAGTTTCCAGAGTTGGTGAACTTAGAGAAGGTTGACTGAGGAGGAGGAATTTGTAAGAAAGAGGAGATCATCACTGAAGAAAAAGAAGAGTTGTGTTGAAAAATCACGAGACTTCGACGGTGAAAACCATCTTTCAGGCCCTTGATCATCCCCTTACCACTGCATAAAACTAAGCAAAATTTCAAAGCTCCCATTTGTAAAATGGCGCCCATTTGTAGAAAAAATGCTTCAGGGTGGGCGGGCTGGTGTTTTTCAAAAGCCCTGGTTGACACCAGCTGAGGTTTGCGGGCTCTGTAGGCCGCTGTTCCATTACAAACGGAGGTCTTGGGGGTGGGGAGGAGGGTGGGGTCCCCGGATGCCTTCTGAGGGGTGGAAGAAGAAACTGAGCTTCTCCACTCAGGCGTCCCGGGACCATAGAGGGTCGCTCCGCCAGGTTCCTAGAGCGACCGCGCGCCGCCCGCCAGCCGCGCGGCCCGCACTTCCGGTGGCGCGAGGGGATCCGTGTGGGGAGCTAGGGCGGCGGCCGGCG